AGATGAGGTTAACATTTAAATCAGTGGACTCAGTAAAGCACAATGAGCTCCATTACATGGATGGGCCTCATCTAGTCAACTAAAAGTCTGAATAGAACAAAAGACTGACCTCCCCAGAGCTAGAAGGAATTCTCCAGCCAAACTGGACTTGGACTGCAACGTCAGCTCTTCCCTGTCTCCACCCTGACAGCCCATCCTGCAGATTTTGGACTTGGTAGCCCCCATGATTGCATGAGCCAATTCCTTAAAATGAATTTCTCTCTCCCCTCTACTAGTTCTGTTTCTCTAGAAAGCCTGACTAACACATCCATCGAAGGGTGATCTTATTGACTTCCTCAACGTGAATATATGTATTTATTTTAAATTTCTAGAGGATAGAGCTTTCAATGACAAATAATAGAAAGTTACTCAAACTAGCTGAAGAGGGGGTACTGGCTAATTAATTGGAAAGGACAGAGATACAAACAGCTTCAGATACATCTATATCCAGGCACACAAAAAATGTTGTCAGAACTCTCTTTGATTCTCTCTGACCTCATGGACAGGGAAAAGACCCTAAAACAGCTCTGGAATCACATCTTTACAGCTTGCAGTCCAAGGGGAGAGAGGCTATTCCTCCATCCTCACCTTTTATATTTAGGCAAGGATTCTGATGGGTCTAGGGAGTCGTATGCCCCACTCTGGTGGCAAAGGTAGGACACGGTGATTGGACAGTTCCACTAGAGTCACATAGAGTCAGGAATAGGTAGAAGTTCTTCAAAGGAAAGGGCTAAAAGAATGAAGGGACACCAAGAAAACACTAACAAAAGATGTTCACTCCTCAGGCTTGAGAACAAAGGGTGCTGACTCCAACTAGAATTAATACATTCCCCAATACTCGCCTCCAGGGTGGCTCCAAATTTCCCCAGTAGGCAGAACCTGGGGCAGAGTTTTCTACCTCTGCTAGAAAGAAACTCATTCTACTGCCAAGAAATTGTCAACAAATTGGAAACCATGAGATTAACTGGTCCTATCTACTATTTCTATCCTGTAGGATGTGATCAGAGCCAAAATAGAGGTGGACCATTCAGGGAGCTGCCTAGAGTTGAAAGATGACTCCAAATGTAAGGAGACAGAAGAATACTGTTTTCTAGAGTTTCTTTCAAGTCGATTCTGCAGACTGCAAGCACCCTGTGGAATTATTATTGATAACTCTAATGTGGAGAAGCAGAGTATAAGGCTAGGGTTTCCCAAAGGGATGACGTAAATTCCCACTGGACTGGAGAGCAGCCAGCTTCATATTCCTGCATGAAAAAAATGTACACATATGCACACAGATGTGTACAAATGTACACATTTGGCCCATGATGGTCTGAAGCAAGTAAGAGATGGTCCACTAGGAAGCAGCACCTATGAAGACAAGGAATGCTTTTCCCTTTCCTGAGGTAGGAATACTCGGGAAAGGTACGAGGGTTCAGTTCCCTAATGGCAATGTGCATAGGCTCTGCACCCAGAATGTCAGGGTCCATGTTCCTGGCTTTTCCACTTAATTTCTATGGCAATGGAATATGTACTTCTCTCTGTGCCTCATGGGGACAATAATAGTTACCCATCTCATAGGATTAAATGACTTCATAAATATAAGGTGCTGAGAACAGGGTCATAGTGAATGCTCAATGAAAGTCTATTTTTATATATTTTGCTCCTTATCATTCTGTATTAGGGCTTGGTGGGGCTCATGGCAGGCACCCCAAAATATGCCTCAATGTCATATTATTTTGAATTAAAGTTACTTAAGAAATGGCTGATACAAGAGGGACTCTGACCCTCCTGTCTCCCTGAAAGCAGGAAATAAATCTTCCATGTGACAGGTGCCCTCCCTGTACTGGGAGATAGGAAGACATCCTTATCACCAGAGATAGGGAATTCAGGCCAAAAGACTACCTAAACAAACCTTGTTATTTCCTTCCTAACTCACTACCCAAGTCCAAACTGTTTAAATTCCTTACTAATTAGCACCCAAACCTAAATTTCTTTGTTCTGTCAATTCCTCTCAAATTAATTTTGTCTAAAAATATAAAAGCTAACGCTTTGGCCACTTCTTGGGTCCCATTACTATGAGACTTCTGTGTGCAAGAATTAAAATTTGTTTCTTTTTCTCCTGTTAATCTATTTTGTGTCAATTTTATTGTTAGTCCAGTCACAAGAACTCAAAAGGGGTAGAGGGGGAAATTACCCACTCCTTGACAGGCTTCACCCTAATTTTGTTTAGTGAAAAACCCTCCAGGTGCTTTGGCCAATAATCTCAGTTTCAAATACATATTGAAATGTCCCATAGTGTTTTTTTGTTTGTTTTTTTAATTTCTATTGTTTAAGACAACCAGTTTTTGTTTTTGTTTTTTTAGTTTATTTATTTTGCCTGCGCTGGGTCTTCGTTGCGGCACGTGGGCTTCTCTACTTGTGGCACGCGGGCTTAGTTGTGTTATGTGGAATCTTATTTCCCTGACCAGGGGTCGAACCCGGGCCCCCTGTGTTGGGAGCGTGGAGTCTTAACTACTGGCCCACCAGGGAAGTTCCAACAAGCTCCCTTTTGTAGAAAATCTTTCCAATAACTTGGCCTCTCTGTTCTGTGACTTCCTCTTCCAGTAACTAAATCCCCCACTCACCTCAGCCACTTATTTCGTGGCCAGACCCAAGACTTGTCATTAACTGCATCTCCTCCACAATATCAATCTCCTGTAGCTTCAGCAAGTTAATGTGCCTACCTTACGCAGTAATTCCCATAGTCTAACCTGAATTCATCTATAACGGCTCAGGAAACAAATTCTCCAACCACAATGCCTGGTTCTGTGAACCAAAAGAAGAAAAATTAAAACTTCTCTTCCCAGCATTCACAACTGCTGGAGTTCTTTCTGTTTCCATCCCTATTTTAATCTCAGTACTTTTGGGGAACAGAATTCCAAAGATGCAATGTACCTATCTTTCCTTTCCTGATATTGTCTGTGAACTGTTGACTCTGAATTCCTATAGAAAAACAAGAGAGAAGGATAATTTGCTACTTGGGCTATCTGAAAAGGCTGTACACATATGGGAGAAAGAAAACTGTCCAAATTTTTGGCATGGTACAGATTATAGATCTCTGAGTCAGGAGAAGCCAGTAGAAGGAACAAGCAGTTTCACATCTATTTTTTCAGACAGATTTTGTATCATAAGGTAAAGCCTGAGCATACTAAGGCAGTTTTTCTCAATTCAGCCTGCTCTGTCTTGTAATCAATGGAAATTTTGTCTACATTCTAGAACTTGGTTCTTCATCAGTTTTCAGCATTATGATTTTTCTTTTTTTTTTTTTTTTGGTCTTTCAGTGGGAAGTTATGTGATACTACATTGGGGGCTACTAGGCAGATACCATTTTAAAACTAAAAATTGTTTAGTGTTTTTTTTTAACAAGGTAAAAATTCAGTAAACATAGTTTCAAACATCTCATAAAAAGCTAAGCCATTTTAGAATATCTTAAAAAGATTCTCCCTATTTACTTCTGTATTAAAAAAGTAAATAAATTAGATTGGGGGGGATGTATTTTAAACTGCTTCACACATTATGCAAAGAAGGAACCATGAGAAATGAAGAACAAAAATAAAAATATCCCTGGATAAAATCCACGTGTACAGAAGATGATTCAGGATGTTATAAATAACTCATATGAGGTAAAGCAAACATGCAATATTTATATATCATTCTCTGAAGAAAGGGTATATTTTATTAATCCTCAAGTTCCTTAGCAGATTAATAATAAAAGCTTAGTATATATATCAACAAGTCCAACTGCTGGGCCCAAAGAAAACTCAAATTAATTTAAGGTGAGTTTGCTTCTTTTTCATCTGATTCATCATCCATAACCTAAAACAAAAGAACAAAGAGAATTTAAGAATTAAGGATTAGAAATTGCTATTTTCCTGATTTTAATATTACTCGCTTACCTGAAATACTCTAATCTATAACAATGCGTGTCAATCCAATAAGAATAAATCTACCAACAGCCCCCAAAGCATAAGGTTTGCATCATAACCTGATATTCTAAAAACATAAAAGCAAATTGAATATTAGCAAATTAATTAAAACATTGGTCTCTTTTCCTTGTCCCAAAGGAGGCTTCCAATAGCAGAGTCTCAGCTGGACAGAGAAGACTATAATGATAACTGGTATTTCCTAGCTGTATGACTAATATATATAACTGACATTCCTGCTTTCTTTTCCAAAAGCACCTTATTTCCTTAAATATATTCTAGGGAGCTATACCAAATTGTTACTGTAAAAATATATATTAGAAAAATGAATCACTAAAAAAGGTAAAGAAACAAAATATCATACTAGCAACTAATTATTTTGGTCTTACTGACATAAACGTTCATTTTAAACCTTAGAAGAATGTGAAGATTTTCATTTCAAGTAAGTTAAGAAAGATATTAATGAATACTTGAAGGAAAAAAAGAACAGATTAGTATCTTTTCATGAGTTAATATATTACTCAGATACTAAAAACCAACTCCTTTGGAAAGGAAAAGAGTTATATAAACCTAAGACTATTTTTTCTCCTCACCATATCTACTATAATTATATGCCAATTCAGGTTTATAATCCAACTGCCAATTCATCACCCACCCTGGACAAGTGAATAAAAACCTTCCTTTGTCAATCGACCAAAGTGTTAACTACTGTAATTTTTAAAAAAGGCATGTAGAGGGGCTTCCCTGGTGATGCAGTGGTTAAAAATCCGCCTGCCAATGCAGGGGACATGGGTTCGAGCCCTGGTCCGGGAAGATCCCACATGCCGTGGAGCAACTAAGCCCGTGCGCCACAACTATTGAGCCTGCACTCCAGAGCCCATGCTCTGCAGCAAGAGAAGCCACCGCAATGAGAAGCCCACACACCACAACGAAGAGAAGCCCCGCTCACCGCAACTAGAGAAAGCCTGTGCACAGCAACGAAGACCCAATGCAGCCAAAAATAAATAAGTAAAATAAATAAATTTATTTTTAAAAAGGCATATAGAGGATAATGGAACAAAAATTAATTTTAAAAAATCCAGATGAATCTGGCTCTGATCTGAAACAATCAATGGAAAAACAATTCCCTCATAGTTTCTTCTGGGTTGAGTAAAAAATGGATATTTACTTCCAAGGAATTGATATTTTTATATCTAATCTCAGCAGCACCCAATCCAAAAAATTTTGTCAATCAACTTCTATTTTAGGCAAAAATATTATTTGGAATGTTTCTAAATATTTAATACAAACTATGTAAACAACATTTACAATACACAAGGCTAAGTGTTGAAGAACACAAAGACCTAGATACGATTACAAACCTCTCAAGGAAATTAACCCTGAACAGAAAACTGAAACAGAAACACAGAAGCTTTGCACAGAAGTACAGCTTAATTCCAAGTGAAGGACCGATAAGAATTTCAGAGAGGAGATGGCATGTATTGTACCAAAAGGACAGGTCTAAATACTACCCAGAGATGAGTGAGTCTCACAGGAGCTGAGAGGAGATGATGCCCTCTCCTTAAAGGCACAGAATTACCTGAAGAGTTTTTTCAAATTTCTAATTTCCACACGCTCTTTCCTTACTTGATAATCTCTCACCATAAGGCCATGCCTCTTGTTTGAGAATTACTGCAGTGAATATCACTATCACTGCTGAGAAAGTACTGTACTATATTCCTTAGATACCTTGGGGCAGAAAAAATGTTGACATCAGGCTATAGATAAAGCTCTATTACTCTACTCAGTAGTCTGTTTTACTGTACAACAAAGTATGATTTCTTGATGAGCTTCCTGCCTGTACATTTAAGAACAAGAAGTGTTTAAATACGAAGTAGTGGAGCTCTTCCACTAAAGACTTCTAAACCTCATCTATAAAATTTCATCATGTTTTGAATCCCCTTTTCATAACTTTTCTAGAGCAGCAGTATGCCCTCTGAGTCTCAGTTTCCCATGTACAAAATGGAAATGAGTTACTTAATATTAATACACTGTGTCATTAGAAGATAAATGAGGTAATACTTGTAAAAACGCTGGGCACATAGTAGGTAATTCATAATACTAAAGTTAATTCTTAAATAAGGAGCCTGCAAGTCTGATAAAATGGTAACACAACGATATAACCCTGGAAGAAAATGTCAGGTCATGAATTTCTTTTCTTTCCAAAAAATTCATTTTAATATTAAATCTAAACTGTCATACAATATTGGCATACCTGTTCTACACCTTCTACTTCTGGAATATAAAACTGCAGCATGTTCTGAATTCCATTTTTCAGAGTAATGATTGAACTGGGGCAGCTGGTACAAGAACCTTGGAGTTTCAGCTGTACAATGCCATCTTCAAAGCCTTTATAGATTACATCTCCTCCATCTTCCTGCACAGTTGGCCTGCAGCCATAGAATATTTGTGATATATTTAAAATAATAGAAGTTTTTGTCAAAAAAATTTAATAAAACTCAGAGCTTAGATTTTCTATTAATAAATGCACAGTTAGAGCTACTTTTATAATCAAGAACAGTAACTGTAGCTAGTCTCATTTGTAATTTTTTTTAACTTTCAGATAAAATGCCAAAATTCATTCATACAAATACTTTATCTGCTTATTACATTTTAATCTTGCTTATTAATAATCTTTCTTAAGCATTTAAGATTTCAAATTTCCTAAAAATTATACTGATTACCTAAGATATACTCATTCACTTTTTTTAAGTGAACAGAGTGAGACTGACATGGGCTGGCTTTTTTTTTTCTAGTTAAACTTTTCATTGAAATGTAAATACAGAAAAATGCATAAATCATGTATGATCAGTTCAGTGAATTTTCACAAAGTGAACATACATTTGTTCTAGACCAAGAAACAGACACTACAACCCCAGAAGTCACCCTGTTCTTCCTTCTAATCACTCCTCCCAACCAATGGTAACCATTATCCTCCCTGCTATCACCCCTGATTAATTCTGCCTATTTTTTAACTTTATAATTTATAAATATAAATTCCGTTTAGAAAACACAAAGTATTAACTCTTTTTTAATCTGGCTTCTTTTGCTCTTTGTGAGATTCATCTACATTGTGGCACATAGTAATAGTTCATTCAATCTCACTGCTGCACAGTATTCCATTAAGTGAATATGCCAGAATTTATCCATTCTATTGTTGATGGACATTTGGGTTAACAGCAGTTTTTTGCTTTTACAAATCGTGCAGCTGTGGAGATTCTTGCAAATGTCCTTTGGTATACATATATATTACAGCTGGGAATGTACCTGAGGGTAGAACTGCTCATCAAGAATATGCATATGTCCAGATTTAGTAGATACTGCCAAATAGTTTCCCAAAGTTATATAAACTTATATTCCCACCAGCAGTACGTGAGAATTTCTGTTGCTCCACACATCCTTACCACCAATTGGTGCTGTCAATCTTAATAATTTTAACCATTCCAGTGGATCTGCAGTGGTATTTCACTGTAGTTTTAATTTGAATATTCATAATGACTAATGAGGATGAGCACTTTTTCATGTTTAGTGGTCATTTGGTTATTGTCTTTTGTGAATTATTACTCCAGTGTTTTTGTGAAGAGACTGCTCCAGTCTCTATTTGTTTGTCTTTTTCTTAACAACTTGTAAGAGATTTTAAATATATTCTGCCATATATATAAATATCTTCTAATCTGTGCTTTGCTTCTTCACTGTAAATGATGCCTTTTGATGAAGAAGTCACAATTTTATTATAGTCCAATTTATGTCTTTCCCTTAGTTTGTCTTGTCTTGTCAAAAAAAATTTGCCTACCCAAAGGTCATGCAGATATTCTATTTTGAATTTCCTTTGTGATTTCTTTGTTGACCATGGGTGTTTTTGAAGACCACTGTTTAGTTTTCAAATACATAGAGATTCTGTAGATACCTTTTTGGAAATTGACATCTAGCTTAATCTCACTGTAGAAAACAATATTCTCAATGATTTCAATCCTTAAAATTTGTTCAGCGTTAAGATTCAGAATACAGCCTCTTTTAGTAAATCTTCCATGTACACTTGAAGAAAATAAATATTTTGTTCTTGTTGGGTGCAATGTCCTATGTGTGTCAATTTAGTCAACTTTGTTAATCATGTGTATAACTCATATTTTATGAGAGTCATTTTATATGTTTGCTCTATTTGTTATTGAGAGAGATGTGTTGGTCTCCCATTAAAATTGTGGATTATCTAATTCTCCTTTTAGTTCTCTCAAATAGTCTTCATTTATTTTGAAACTGTTATTAGATGCATACAAGTTTAAAATTGGTATATATTCCTCATAGAAATTACCCTTTTATTATTATGAAAGATTTCTCTTTATTGCTAGTAATGTCTTTAGCTATAAAGTATATTTTGTCTGATATCTGTATAACTACATCAGCTTTCTCTTATTCATTTTTTGCATGCTATATATTTCTCTATCTTTTTACTTTCAACCTTTCTGTGTCCTTATATTTAAGGTGTATACCTCTTACAAGCAGCATGTAGGTTTTTTTTAATAGCCGATCTGACAATCTTATTTTGTTAATCAACCCACGTACATTAAAATATAACTACTAATATGTTTGGGTTTATAGTACCATCTTATTATTTATCATTTTGCATTACTTTGGATTAAACAAGTCTTGTTTTTTTATATTTATTTATTTGGTTGCGCTGGGTCTTAGTTGTGGCAGTTAGGCTCCTTAGTTGCAGCTCGCAGGCTCCTTAGTTGTGGCAGATGGGCTCCTTAGATGTGGCTCGCCAGCTCCTTATTTGCAGCTTGCTGGCTCCTTAGTTGTGGCACGTGAACTTTTAGTTGCGGCATGAGAACTCTTAGTTGCGGCACGCATGTGGGATCTAATTCCCTGACGGGGGATCAAACCCAGGCCTCCTGATTTGGAAGTGTGGAGTCTTAACCACTGTGCCACCAGGGAAGTCCCCGTATTGTTTTTTATTATTCCATTTTCCCCCTCTATTGGCTTGGTTATACACAGTCTTTTACTGTTGATTTAGTGTTTATTACACAAGATGCCTATTTGATTTCTTAAACTCTAATATAAATTAGTACTTTTATCAATTCCCAGATAATGCCAAGAATGAAGAATACTTACTCTTTTTTTTTTTATTATTTTTTTTAAAGATTTTTTGATGTAGACCATTTTTAAAGTCTTTATTGAATTTGTTACATTATTGCTTCTGTTTTATGTTTTGGTTTTTTGGCCCTGAGGCATGTGGGATCTTAGCTTACTGATCAGGGATCGAACCCACACCCCCTGAATTGGAAGGCGAAGTCTTTACCACTGGACCCCCAGGGAAGTCCCAAAGAACACTTACTCTTATACTTAGCACCACCTTTTATATCTTTGTCATGCATTTTTTTTTTTTTAGTAGGTTAACCCTTCTTTTAAAAAATTTATTTCAGCTGCGCCAGGTCTTAGTTGTGGCACACAGGATCTTCGTTGTGGCATGCGGACTCCTTAGTTGCAGCATGCATGTGGGATCTAGTTCCCTGACTAGGGATTGAACCTCAGGCCCCCTGCATTGGGAGCTTGGAGTCCTACCCACTGGACCACCAGGGAAGTCCCCTTTGTCATGCATTTTAATTCCAGATATATTAAAAACCCTATAGGACATTGTGAGGCCCTTTTTGCCATATATTCTACGTCTCTCATACTTTCTTGCTGTATTTTCCATTCTCTTTTCTGTGCTTCAGCTGGGTATTTTCTATTGACTTATATTCCAGTACACTAATCTTCTCTCCAACAGTATCCAATGTGATGTTCAACTAACCTAATGAGTTCTTAAGTTTAGCTATTATACATTTTAGTTCCAGAATTACTTTTTCTTTTTTTATAGATTCCAGTTTTCTGATGAAATTCTTCATCTCACTTTCTATTTTCTCAAACATTTTCTTCACAGTTATTTTAAAGATCATGTCTGATAACTCTCACATCTAGGTTATCTATGGATTTGTTTTATTTTCTCTTGGTCCAGTTTCCAAATTCCATGCCTAGTAATTTTTGGACAATGAATGATGAACAATGTACACGAAAAACTGAAGTGACTCAGGATTATATTACATCAGAAAGGATTCACCCTATCTTTTGGCAGTAGCTCAACCTGCTGTGGAATTAGGTTCACTCAATACTGGACTACAGTTTTATAAGGCTTGGTCTACCTCTGGTTTGTCCACTTTCAAGGGGATAGTCCTCTAGAGAGTCCGACTAAAAGCCTGGGTGTTCCTTGAGGCCCCACACTCCTTGACAGATCCTAAACTCCAATTTTTGTCACCACCCCCAGCACCATAAAACTGCCAAAACTCTGCTCAGCTTTTCAACTGCTTTTTGTTTGACTTCTTAGTCTCTTCCCCTCCATAGCTAAGAACAAGTAAGTGCCAGGTGGGGAGAACTTCTGAGTATTAAGGCTTATTTTTTTCTTTTCTCTGGGATCTTGCCCTTTAAAGTCAAAGCTTCATTGGAAACCCAGAATTTTAATTTTTGTCTTCCCATCTCTACAAATTTGCTGAAAGCAACATAGTTTCTCTGATTCTTAGCGACTGCCCTTTGCCCAGCTTCTCATATTCTAACCTCACATCAAGAATCAGCGAATGCCCCGAGGGAAGTTTCAATGTGCTTCCCTTCTCTACAGGACCTTATTTGCTTTGGCAGCTATCTAATACTGTCCAACAACAACAAAAAAATTTTTTTTTGTATTTTATCTAGCTTTTTTGGGAATTGTCAGCAGGACCATTGGTCTGCTACAAGCAAAAGTGGAACCCTATGGTTCTCTACTCATTTAAATTTATTCTTTTGGGGTAGCAGCCTGAAAAGAGGTGCTCCTCTCCTCACAATTCTCCCAAACACTGTTAAGCCTTTTTTTTCTTACTAAGAAATTTGGTATTATAACAATATCAAACCCAAATGGTGACCATGAAAGATAAATTATTATGTTTAGACAGAGTGTTACAAATTGTGAGTGAATATAGAGAATGTACAGGCTTTAAATTCAATTGTCATGGTTACCTATTTTGGTTTACATTAACTTATACTTATTTTGTTAACTCTACTACAACCTCAGAGACAAACCAAAAGTATACTGCTACAATGAAAATTGGCTCTGTAGTATTGATATATCTGATCTCAGGTAGAAAGATGAGCACATACCGTATTCTAGTATCTAACAATTCCTTAATCATTGCCACAACTTCATCATCATCTTCAGATCCTAGAAACAATTATGAATAAAACATATCAACAGTAGAAATTTTATATCCATGCAAGTACAAACATTAAAACAGAGTGATTTTAACTTAGGGGAAATATAAAGGTCATTCATTTGATTATCTGAAGAAAAATTAAGGAGCACTGATCAACATTTGGTGATAAATGTGAATACTGAATAATCTGATCTACTAATTCTGTTAGGATTTGAATTTTTTGGCCAATATATTTGTAAACTTTCATCCTTCTCAAGAACTGAAAAGTAGCAGAGAAAAGATATTGTCTGAATTTTGATGAAAACTTTGAGACAAAACAGCACACCTGCTTTGTAAGTTAAGTTATATTTTCAATTTCTCAATTTAGTGGTTTTCAAAATGACAATCATACTAAATACAGATGTAAGCCTTATGGAAACTCTAAAATGTTTTACAAATCTGAGCAAAAACTTGGTTTTTTCATTTTGTTTCATTTTTGTTTTTCTTTTACTTTGTAAGGTCATATACCGATCTTCACGTATGCCTATTTTTATGGGTTTTATATTTTTTGAAAAATTTCTTTACCATTGGGAAAATTAAAATGCAGCTAATTCAAATTACACTGTGACAAACACTAGAGTTCTGGCAACAATGTAAGTATCAACATATTACTATTAAATTATATCAACTTTGAATTTTTTAATAAAAGAAATAAAATATAATAAAGTTAAAATTCTCTTACATCAGCAAACCTACATTCCATTCCACACCATCACTTCCCCAGGCAACCACTATCATGACTTTAGTGTATATCCTTCGAGTACATGTTAACATTTACAAGTCTGTATTTATACACACTATACACACTGTTCTATACCTTGTTTTATTTCTATTTAATATACCTAAAAGGTTTTTCCGTATCAGCATATAAAGATATGCCTCAATTTAAAAATTAGGTGCATAGGGCTTTCCTGGTGGCACAGTGGTTGAGAGTTCGCCTGCCGATGCAGGGGACACAGGTTCGTGCCCCGGTCCGGGAAGATCCCACATGCCACGGAGCAACTAGGCCCGTGAGCCATGGCCGCTGAGCCTGCGCGTCTGGAGCCTGTGCTCTGCACCGGGAGAGGCCACAACAGTGAGAGGCCTGCGTACCGCAAAAAAAAAAAAAAAAAAAATAGGTGCATAGTAATTTTTGTATGGCTTTGTCTTCATTTGGCTAGTTTTTATATTATTTCAGTTGTTTCTAGTTTGCTATTTCTAACAATCCTGCAGTATACATGCTTACGTAAAGTATATATCGGTGTATTTTTGCATATATATCTAAGAGATAAATTCCTAGTTCTGCTGGACTTCCTTAGTGGCACAAAGAATCTGCCTGTCGATGCAGGGGACATGGGTTCGAGCCCTGGTCTGGTAAGATCCCACATGCCATGGAGCAACTAAGCCCATGGGCCACAACTACTGAGCCTGTGCTCTACAGCCTGCAAGCCACAACTACTAAGCCTGCGTGCCACAACTACCAAAGCCCGCACACCTAGAGCCCATGCTCCACAACAAGAGAAGCCACCGCAGTGAGAAGCCCACACACTACAACGAAGAGTAGCCCCCGCTCACCACAACAAAGACCTAACGCAGCCAAAAATAAAATGTAAATAAATAAATAAATTTTTTTTTTAAAAAAAGAAAGTACTCTTTATATAAAAAAAAATTCCTAGTGCTGGGTCAATAGGCTTGTGTATTTTTAAGTTTTGGTAGATGTCAAATGGCTCTCAAAACGTTATATCAATTTTACATACATGTCCATCAAGAACACATATAATTTAAAATTTGTATTATTATTTAAAATTTGCATAAATGGTATATATGTAAGAACATATAAATAAACTCTTCAGTTTTCCTTTATCACTTAATATTTTTTATATCTTTCCACATTGATATCTCCTAATCAAGTTCACTCCTTTTAACTGCTAACATATTTTAAAAATATTTCAATGAACATGCTTCCACATGTTGCCTTGTGTACATTTATCACTCATTTAGAATATATATTATCTAGAAGTGAAACTGATTCATTTAAAGGTGATTATACAAATGTTTGTGTGTGTGTAGACATACGTATACATATACACACACACACACACACACACACACACACACACCAGTATCTGTACGATATTGGAGAAAGGAAAAATTTCATCAACAAATATAATAATCACAGCTAGTATTTGAGATCCATGTGACGTTACTCTTCCAAGTGCTTTACATACAATAACTTATTAAAACAATGTACACAAAACAGAAACCACAAAGGATAAGATGAAAATATGCGACTCCATTAAAAAGAAAAACTTCTGTGCTTGCTTCAGCAGCACAAATACTAAAACTGAAATGATACAGAGAAGATTAGCATGGTCCCTTCGCAAAGATGATACACAAATTTGTGAAACGTTCCATATTTTAAAATAAGAAAAAATTTCTTTCTTGTTTTCTTACATGGGACTTTTGTTTTAGTTTTGGCTGTGTTGGGTCTTCGTTGCTGTGAGCAGGCTTTCTCTAGTTGCGGTGAGCGGGGGGCTACTCTTTGTTGCAGTGCGCAGGCTTCTCACTGTTGTGGCTTCTCTTGCTGTGGAGCACAGGCTCTAGGCACATGGGCTTCAGTAGTTGTTGCACGCGGGCTCTAGAGTGGAGGCTCAGTACTTGTGGCGTACAGGCTTAGTTGCTCCATGGCATGTGGGATCTTCCCAGGCCAGGGATCAAACCCATGTCCCCTGCCTTGGCAGGCAGATTCTTAACCACTCCGTCACCAGGTAAGCCCAAGAAAAAATTTCTGAATGACAAAAGACAACTTAAATATAGTGAAAATATAAGGCATGGTTAGGGAGAAGTTATTTGCTATGAATATGCTTAATTTATATATAGTATATTCAGGATTTATACTCAGAATATTTTTTGCTAGGGCAAAACTTGCTAGGGCTTCCCTGGTGGCGCAGTGGTTAAGAATCCGCCTGCCAATGAGGGGGACGCAGGTTCAAGCCCTGGTCCGGGAAGATCCCACATGCCGCGGAGCAGCTAAGCCCGTGCGCCACAACTACTGAGCCTGTGCTCTAGAGCCCGTGAGACACAACTACTGAGCCCGCGTGCTACAGCTTCTGAAGGCCACGCCCCTAGAGCCCATGCTCTGTAACGAGAAGCCACCGCAGTGAGAAGCCCGCGCACCGCAACAAAGAGTGGCTCCTGCTCACCGCAACTAGAGAAAGCCTGCGCACAGCAATGAAGACCGAACGCAGCCAAATATAAACAAATAAATAAATAAATTTATTAAAAAAAAAAACTTGCTAAAGCCAATACAAAAAAGACACATAATTCAATTTTTTAAAAAATCAGCAAAGTTTATGAACAGGAAATTTACTGAAAAGGAAAATATTGGCCAGTCATATGAATATTGGCCATATGTTTGTATATATGAAAACCTTCAGGCTCAATATTAATCAAGGAAATGCAATTAAAACAAGACACCATTTTACCCCTAACATATTGGTTAAAAAAAAAAGTAAACACAAAGTGATGATGAAGTATAAGAAAGTTGAAATTCTTATACACTGCTAATTTGCATGTAAATTAGAACAATTTACGATACAGCAATTCTGCTTTTAGGAATATACTCTAAAAGTACCCTAAAGCAGGTTTCCACAAATGCACAAAGAGACTTGTACAAGAACACCCAATGCAGCAATGTTTGTAACAGAAATTAGCACAAACAATTTACTTGGATATAAGTAAAGGAAAAAATTAATTAACTGTAATTTAGTCATATAATGGAATACTATCCAGCACTTAAAATAAATAAATGGGTGTATTTCAAAATATGTGAAAAAAGGAAAGTTGCATATAACACAAGTTATTTAAAGTTTAAGAACAAAAACCAATACTATAAATTCCCTGCAGAGACTTACATGTGTAGTAAAAGTTTAAAAACAAACTAAATTTACATACACTTCTGTAATAGAAAGGGAAAAGGGATGGGAGTTCTGGGTCTTTGGCTATGTCTTTAATATTTTATTTAGAAATGAGTCTAAAGCAATTAAGGTAGAGACTTAACCTTTGTTAAATCTAAGAAGAGGGCAAATTGGTGAGCATTATAATATTATTTTCTATATGCTTGAAAATTTTTATAATTGAAAATTTTAGTTTTGTATAATATATTCAATTTATACACAAGTTTTATAAAATGATGGATGAAACTACTACACATGAAATTTTGTCCCCTCTGAGATTGGTTCCAGAGCTAAATATAGTATAATGATAAAAATCTGTAGTCCCATGACTTCTGAAATCAAGACAAATGTGAAGAAAATAGAACAGTTTAAAAAAAAAAGATAAATACTGATTACCCAACACATTACCTGCTTCTCCTGAAGGTGTTTCCTCAGTAACTAAAGGTAAGCCAGATGCAAAGAAATCCATAATTGTAGCATAGATATCTGGTTTCAGTAAATTCCAGTCTAACTCTTCATTTTCCTGTAAATATTTGAAGGAAAACGTTACATTTTCAACCAAGGGCAAAGACAAATACAAAACAATACCTTTAAGAATCTTTCCCTATATATATTCTACAGCACTCGTTTCTGGAAAATATATGTCAGTTACTGTTCCTAAAGGAGCTGGCTTATAATGACTTTCAGAAGATACAATCTTAGAACATTCCCCAATTCATTCATTCATCAAATAAGTGTGCTGTATGTACATGCCCCATAGAGGGGATACCAAAATGACTAAAAGATATTTTTTCATGAGGTGAAGAGAGTTAAAATACTGAATGGATTCTGTGTTTAAAGAGGGTAATAAAGAGACTTCCCATTCTTTTAATAAAATAGGATATAACTGCTTGATGAACTATACAGGATATTTCACGACTATTCAAAAAAATTCAACTTACGTATATTACTTAATAGTATTGAAGAAACCCAATGACATAACTGTTGAACCATAAGTATAACGTGTCTTATCTACAGCTATTGTACTAGAGGACTTGTGGACCGTCAACTAGACTGGTATCCGTAAGAAAGAATCCATAACTATTTCACTTCTAATTCTGGCCAACTAGTTGATTCCATTAAAAAAAAAGAGACAGATAGTACCCAAATAGTACTAACATCTAAAATGAGAAAGGCAGAATGTTTTGTTTTAATTTTTTAAAGGAGAGCTCTTTAGGCGAAAAACTATTAGAGGCAGTCTAGATTCTCAGGAGGCTGTTAGCTAGGGTCTATGCTTAAATACTATTAAAAAGTGTGTCTTCGTATACAAACGGGTCTATTTTTGTCACGGATTAATTTAGAGACACTACACAGAAGGTAAAACAGGCACTACTACGAATACAAAAACAAAATTAGTGAGACGTCTTAGTGATTGGTAACGAGTACTATTTCTAGGTAACATTTTAATAAATTATTTGGAAGATGGATCAGAAGGCTACCTTAGAGCTTCAGTAAGTAGTGGGCTCTACTGAATAGGGAAATATTGGTATTAAAAGAAAATAAATATTATGAAGTTATCTGAATGAGAAAAAGGCAGCATATAAGCTGCAAATATACATTTAGGAAAAAAAAAACCCGATGCATAAAGAAGCCTGTGAATTATCAATTACAAGTTAGAAAGGGAAACAGGCAATCACTGAAGCTATCAGGTAAATGGGATAGTCCATGATGAGGAAGGTAATTGGAAGAAAGCACATCAATCTACCAGTCTATCTATTAAATATCAATGTGTGCCCTAACTTGGAATATTATTTATTGGTTATATCATTTCATTAAGAAAACATAATGGAGCTGGAGAAATTTCAAAAAGGGTAACTAAATTACAAAGGGAAAGGGAAATAAAAGATGACTTACCAAAATCAAATCAAGAAAAAAAAAACCCTTTGTAAGCTATAATCACGTTTTCATCCCCCCCAAAAAATTTATATAACATAGGCTATGTGTAAAAGAAATAAAAACTTCTTAAAATACATAATTTCCTATTTGTAAAATGAAGACAAGAAAAACTAGTTATAAGAATTAAATTTTTAAAAAGTAAAAATAAAGGGCTTCCCTGGTGGCGCAGTGGTTGACAGTCCGCCTGCCGATGTAGGGGACACGGGTTCGTGTCCCGGTCTGGGAAGATCCCACATGCCGCGGAGTGGCTGGGCCCGTGAGCCATGGCCGCTGAGCCTGCGCATCCGGAGCCTGTGCTCCGCAAGGGGAGAGGCCACAACAGTGAGAGGCCCGCGTACAGCAAAAAAAAAAAAAAAAAAAAGTAAAAACAAAAACCACAGTAAATTAACTATACTTCAATTTAAAAATGGTTTAAAAAGAAGAATTAAATTAGATAATGTATGTAAAGCACTAGTGCCACATCAAACATGTTGGCAATGCTAGTCCTTTTTTCTCCTTCAAAAAACATCAAAGAAAGAAAATTGGGGGGCTTCCCTGGTGGCACAGTGGTTGAGAATCTGCCTGCCAATGCAGGAGACACGGGTTCGAGCCCTGGTCTGGGAAGGTCCCACATGCCATGGAGCAACTAGGCCCGTGAGCCACAGCTACTGAGCCTGCGCATCTGGAGCCCGTGCTCTGCAACAAGAGAGGCCGCAACAGGGAAAGGCCCGCGCACCGCGATGAAGAGTGGCCCCCGCTCGCCGCAACTAGAGAAAGCCCTCGCACAGAAACGAAGACCCAACACAGCCAAAAATAAAAATAAAATAAAATAAAAAAAGAAGAAAAATTGAAGAATAACAAAGATAGGTCAAATGTCTATAAACAAGTAAAAACTAGAGATTGGTGAGCACACATTTGCTCACCACAATCCTACATTTGGGGGAAACCACTTGAAACCTGAAAATTCAATTTAGGAAATTTTACAACATTGTTTCCTTCTACAAAAATTTCTTTGAATGCATACTATGTGCTAAGCATTGTTGTAGGTGAGCTTAACAAGATGGACTATCTTTATCTTCATGGAGTTTACATTCTAGTGCCGGAAAGAGAGGTAATAAAAATAAACAATATCATTAAGAGATAAGTGTAATGAAGAAAATAAGGTAGTAAGTGCCTGGGGGGAGTTACCACTTTCAGTTATATGGTCAAGAAAGGGTTTTCTGAGAATTTAGAAAAAATAACACGTTAAACAACCAGGAAGAACATTTTATAATCCGGATATTTGTGTGAACAACCATAGCCACTGGGATTGCCAGCATGGAAGAAAATCCTAATTCTCCTCCTCATATAAACAGCTGCAAGAGAGTACTAGACTAGATGTAACATGTTGATAACTCAGTATGTCCCCTTTCGTGGTGCAGCAAGAACTCAAGAGTAATCCTTTCAAACTGCTTAAGAGGAGCTAACTGAATACTTTTGATTTTGATGCAAAATTGGGCAAGTGATTAAGTTCAGTGCATACATATCAATTACAAATTTAAAAGAATAAGTATAGTTCAAATTTATATGGTTCATTTCTCATTAATCTAGTAGACTTAAAAATGAAACAGTCTTTTCTAGCAAATATGACCTTAGATGTTGGATGGGTAGCATAATGAGCTCGATTTTTTGACATTAAGAGGTTATCCAAGTGTTGCAGGAGTACACAATCCACTGCTCTTGTCTGTGAAGCTCTGAAGTGTTACTGCAGGATGGTAGGCTGGCAGAATGTGCCAGATGCCATTTTATAAACGCTCACTTTGAAAGGAGACGTAATCATTCTGTAGGCCAAATATATATATATTTGATCATTTATTTGCTTCTCTTTTTACTCTATCAATGTAAATTAAGAATTAGTAAAAATTATACTTGGAAGCCTAAATTTTAGTCCTGCCAAGGTTGAGTCTTGGTCCTGCTGGAGGCCACCTATACAGTCTTGGACGCTGCATTTAACTCTCTGAAGCTCAAGTTGTTCTCTTTTGAAAAATGAGGGATCTGGACTACAGTTAATTTCAACTTGAAAATTCTATTAAATAATTAACTTGAGAAATGTGAGAAGTAAAATTAATTTGAGATTTTTAATAACAGTATGTGTAGAACACATCAAGAATGGATATTCTGGAGAGGGGCACTGGACTCAGAAAAAACTAAAAGTATGTCACATCTTATTTTACATAATCCTATGCTTACCTTTGTGACAGTGATGAAATCGGGTCCAAAGAAGACACTTTTTACTCCTTCAATCCTAAATAACTGCCTGTGAAAAAATTTTAAAAAAGAGATAATAAAATGTTTTATTATGGAAAAGTCTACAACAGAAGTCCCCAACCTTTTTGGCACCAGGGACCAGTTTCGTGGAAGTCAATTTTTCCACGGACGGGGGGAAGGGGGTGGGAGATGGTTCCAGCAGTAATGCGAGTGATGGTGGGGAAGGTTCAGTTGGTAATGTGAGTGATGGGGAGCGATGGGGAACGGCAAATGAAGCTTCCCTCGGTTGCCCACAGCTCACCTCCTGCTGTGCGGCCTGGTTCCTAACAGGCTGCGGACCCGGGGTTGGGAACCCCTGGTCTACAATATACATAAAAGTAGAGAGAAATGTAAAAGAACCTCCACACAGTCATCACCAGTTTTAACAATTAGCATATCATGGCCAATCTTGTTTCATCCTCTTACCCTACAATCCAGCGATCCCACTCCTAGTTATTTACCCAAGAGAAATGAAAATGGATGCTCCATAAAGACTTGCACGTGAATCACTTCTTTTTTGCGGTACGCGGGCCTCTCACTGTTGTGGCCTCTCCCGTTGCGGAGCACAGGCTCCGGATGCGCAGGCTCAGCGGCCATGGCTCACGGGCCCAGCCGCTCCGCGGCATGTGGGATCTTCCCGGGCCGGGGCATGAACCCGTGTCCCCTGCATCGGCAGGCGGACTCTCAACCACTGCACCACCAGGGAAGCCCTGAATCTCTTTTTTTAAATTTATTTATTTACTTTTGCCGCTTCGGGTCTTCGGTGCTGCACGCAGGTCCTCTAGAGTTGCAGCGAGCGGGGGCCACTCTTCACCACGGAGCTCAGGTTTCTCATTGCAGTGGCCTCTCCTGCCACGGAGCACGGGCTCTAGGCACGCGGGTTTCAGCACTTGTGGCATGCGGGCTCAGTAGTTGTGGCTCACAAGCGCTAGAGCGCAGGCTCAGTAGTTGTGGCACACAGCTTAGTTGCACCGCGGCATGTGGGATCTTCCCAGACCCGAACCCGTGCCTCCTGCACTGGCAGGCGGATTCCTGACCACTGCACCACGAGGGAAGCCCTGCACATGAATCTTTATAGCAGCTTTATTTACAATACCAAAACCAAAAAAATCTGGAAATGTCCATCTACTGAGGAATGACTGAACAAACTGGGAATACCCATACAATGTAGTATTACTTGGCAATAAAGAGAAATGAACTATAGATCCACACAAGGACAAGAATGACTCTCAAAATCATTATACTAAATGAAAGAAGCCAAACACAAAAGACTATCTGGTTCCATCATATGAAACTCTAGAAAAGGCAAAACTGTAGTGGTGTAAAGAATATCAATAGCTGCCAGAGTGACAGATGTGTTAACTAACCTTTCTATGTAATCATTTCACAATGTATATGTATATCAAATCATCATGTTGTATACCTTAAAATTAAACAATGCTTTATGTCAATTACATCTCACAGAAGCTGGAAAAAACGTTTTTTAATAAAAATTTAAAAATTAAAAGTCATTGCCATAAAAAGAAAGTTAGCAGGGTGTGGAGGTGAAGCAAGAAGAGACTGAAAGCAAAGGGCAATGAGGGATCTTTTACAGTGATAAAAATGCTTTATATTTTTATTTTCTTGGTGGTTACACAATTATATATACTTAACAAAACTCACTTAAAATTGGTGTATTTTATTGCACGTAAATTATACTTCAGTAAAGCTAATTTTTTAGAATCCTGTGAGAGAATGAGGGGCAGATTATAATTTGAAAAAGTCCTTCAAGGAATTTTGAATTACAGCTTCCTTCCCCAGTCACTGACATATGTACCACACCTAGCAGACTCTCTAAAGCAGTTTCTTTTTTCCCAACCTTAGCAACAAAAGCTGACATACTCCAAAGAAGGTTACAGTTTCCTTTTCTCTGTCTACCAGTGCCAAGAATGCTATCAAAATTACGGCTTTGAAATTATTTAGGAATTTGTCTGAAACTACGTCATCTAAGTCCTTTACACAACCACTTCGTGTGAAATTTGCAAGTGGCCACAAGATTTTTGGCTGCAGCTTATGATCCATAAACCAAAGCACAGACCTTTAAGTAGGACCCTTGATTAGCACTATCAGCAAAGCTTTTTTTTTTTCCCAAATGAAAGGACTGTGCAAAGGAATACACCTGATCTATGGTCCATATCATGGAGACTGCTTTAGGAAAGAGTTCACAGGTTCTGTCCCTAAAAGAAAGAAAAAGCGGAAACAGGAGTTTCAAACATTAGTAGACATGCTTTGTTATTTAGGTTACTCTCCTTGGGACAATTTCAACTTGTCAATGTCCAAAATAAAATATGAAAACACTATCCCAAATGTAGTCTAACTTTGTTCAGAGTACAAAGACTATTACCTCTCTTAGGCTGGACACTAGGACTCTGTTAAAGTTCGACTGACTTTTTTAAGCATTGCATCATATCCAACATGACTAACTGAAAGGTCAGGTTCTTCTATCCCATAATTGTGCTATTCATTTAAAAAATTTAAACACACGGCTTAGTATTTATTTCTGTTGGACTTTTATCTTATTTGCTTTAAGCCTAATAAAACTTTCAAAAATGTCTCTGAATTTTGCTATCCAACAGATAAGCAAATCCTCTCATCTGAAAAACTGATAATTATATCTTTATTAATGTTGCTGATTTTAAAAAAGTCCTGAATAAACATGCCAACTACAGGGATTCAGAGCCCTTTTACATGTCCCCGAAGACAGGTTTACCCTCTGCTTACATTTCTTTGTCTTGTCTACAAGGACAGGAAGAAACATGTCAAATGCCTCCCTGAAGTAAGATACATTACTCTTTATTCATTCATTCAACTAGTATTTGAATACTTGCTGAGTAGCAGACACTGTACTAAGCACTAGGGATACAACAACAAGCAGAACAGACTGGTTTCCATCCTCATGAAGCTTACGTTCTACCTTACAGTAAAAACATTCTCTGCTAAACAACAAAAACAAGGCTGACTGAAGATAATAAATTCTGTAAACCGGAGAAATGGGGATTTTTGCCAACTGAACATGTGACAGAAATAATCTCCAACTAATCTGTAACTGAATCAGTTTGGGCTTTTTTATTTTTACATTTTTTAAAATACAAAATATGTGAGCTTGTACGTGATGTAAACATTTCAAACTATACATAGAGAGTGAAAATGCCTCTTGACCACCCTCCCCAAATCCACTGTTATCAGTTTTGTGTACATTCTTCCAGACCTCTTTATCAGTGCATTTTTGTTGTTTTGTGTTTTTTGTTTTCATACACATAATAATCATAATGTATTCATTGTTCTGCAACTTGCTTTCTTCAATAACAAGTATGTCTTAGAGGTCATTCAGTAAATATGAGTCCGCCTCATCCTTTTTATTGTTTTATTGTTTGTCCATGCAGACTATGGACGAACGAAGTTTATCTAACTCTTCCTACCGATGAATATTTAGGTTGTTTCTAACTTACTACCATTACCAACAAGGCTACAATGAACATACTTGCACACTCCTTATGTATATATGTGGCTGTTCTCTAAGGTAGTGTTTTTCAAAACCACCAGTGAGTCGTAAAATCAATTATATAGTGACCAGGATTTTATCTAATAAAATAAAACAGAACAGAACAGAATAATATAAAAAGCACAAGAAAGGAAATGTAAGACTGCTTTAGGGACTTCCCTGGTGGCGCAGTGGTTAAGAATCCACCTGCCAATGCAGGAACACAGGTTTGATCCCTGGTCCGGGAAGATCCCACATGCTGTGGAGCAACTAAGCCAGTGTGCTACAACTACTGAGCCTGCGTTCTAGAGTCCGCAAGCCACAACTACTGAGCCCGTGTGCCACAACTACTGAAGCCTGCGCGCCTAGAGCCCGTGCTCTGCAATAAGAGAAGCCACCACAATAAGAAGCCTGTGCACTGCAACAAAGAGTAGCCCCACTCGCCGTAACTAGCGAAAGCCCGCGTGCAGCAACGAAGACCCAATGCAGACAAAAACAAATAAATAAAAAATAAATTTATAGGGCTTCCCTGGTGGCACAGTGATTGAGAGTCCGCCTGCCGATGCAGGGGACACGGGTTCGTGCCCCGGAGCGGCTGGGCCCGTGAGCCATGGTCGCTGAGCCTGCGTGTCCGGAGCCTGTGCTCCGCAACAGGAGAGGCCACAACAGTGAGAGGCCCATGTATCGCAAAAAAAGATATATAATAAATAAATAAATAAATTTATTAAAAAAAGAATGTTTTATACCTTATAAAGGCGAAAATTGCCCCATCAAACACTTGTTTCATACCTATATATACATACGTATATGTACATATTTAGGTATATCTGTGTATGTATATGTGTGTATGTATATAGCGAGTCATAATATAAGACGTTTAATAGCTGATTCACTTTGTTATAAAGCAGAAACTAACACACCATTGTAAAGCAATTATACTCCAATAGAGATGTTAAAAAAAAGTTTATTACTGTGGCTTGTATTAAAAAGTATAAAAAACAAATGCTCTAAGATATATTCCAAGAAGTGGTATGTTTAGGTCGAAGGAAATGTGCATATTTATTAATTAGAAACTTTAAAAACGATTCCTGAGATAAGCATATTCCTGGTTCCCCTAAATGAGACACATTAAATGGCTGTATGTATACAGAAATAGTTATCTAAGTTTTATTTTCCCAATATCCTTGGCAATCAGTATCAGTCTTAGGTTACCAAAAATTTCAGTTGATGTGATTGACCTAACATTTCTTATTATAAATAACTTCTCTAGCTATCAGTTAAAAAGGGGTTTTATAATTTTATTGTTTGTGCTTTATCATTAGACATACATTTAACATGTCTTTAGTGAATTTAAAAGCTGTCACCACTGAATGTAAATTGGTGCAGCCACTGTGGAAAACAGTATGGAGGTTCCTTAAAAAACTAAAAATAGAGCTATCATATGATCCAACAATCCCACTCCTGGGTATATATCCAGAAAAAATGAAAACTCTAATTCCAAAAGATACGCACACCCCAGTATTCACAGCAGCACTATTTACAATAGCCAAGTAATGGAAATAACCCAAGTGCCCATCAACAGACAACTGACTTAAGAAGATGTGGTAACATGTACAATGGAATACTACTTAGTCATTAAAAAGAATGAAATAATGCCATTTACAGCAACACGGATGGACCTAGAGAATATTATACTTAATGAAGTAAGTCAAACAGAGAAAGACAAATACTGTATGATATCACTTATATGTGGAAACTAAAAAATAATGCAAATAAATCTATATACAAAACAGAAGCAGACTCAAAGACACAGAAAACAAACTTACGGTTACCAAAGGGGAAAGAGAGGGAGGGACAAATTAGGAGTATGGGATTAACAGATAAGGACTACCTAAAATAGATAAGCAACAAGGATCTACTACATAGCACAGGGAATTATATTCCGTATCTTTTAATAACTATAATAGAATATAATCTGGAAAGAAAAATAACTGAATCACTTTGCCATCCACCTCAAGCTAACACAATATTGTAAATCAACTATACTTCAATAAAAAATAAATAAAAATAAAAACTGTCACCACTCACTAGTTTATTAAAAAATCATGCCACATCTGATAACGATTATCATTTATAGTTCTGAGAGGAATATTTTAGAAACTATTCCATTTTGAAACATCTAGAAATCCAGCTATCCTTGAGAATAAAATGATCATGTTATTATTGTTTTCTTAAAACAGGGTTTTAAAGATTTAGAATGGATACCTGCCTCATTTTTTTTTTTTGCCACATGGCACGTGGGATCTTAGTTCCCCAACCAGGGCTCGAACCCACACCTCCTGCATTGGAAGCGTGGTGTTTTAACCACTGGACCACCAGGTAAGTCCTGCCATATTATCATTTTGATAGATTTTTTAAAAGGAAAAATATAAATTCTTATTTAGTCATGCTGCAGATCTCTTAAGTACATCCCTTTTCAGGAGAAGGGTTTCCTAATATCAACTCTTATTTTTCTTTCTCTCTCACCTGAAAAGAAAATAATCTCTATACTGAAAAGATGCAATGCACATAAAAGTAAAATAGCTAAAAAAGGCTACCTTAACCCCCGAAGTCAGTTATTTATGTTTCTTGGTAAAAGCAAATTAAAAATAGTACTATACCTAGCCAGAGGGGAGCGAAATGCTGTAGCTGGTGTGGGAAAATCCATGGTCCTTGTCTCAAGAACTGGTTTTCCTGGAATAAACTTTAAACTGTTGGGATTTGGGGTATCTTGTGTTTGAATAAACATGTATCTCACTAAAAGAGAAAAAAGAAAGAATGTTATTCTAGAAAAAAAATGTTAACAAGTTTATGGACTATGAAGTGCTCATTTTCAGAGAACCAAAAGAAATACAGAAAATTAGAAAAAAAGAATATAAAGCTTTATTGCCCAAGCTTACAGAATAAGAATTGTTAAGCAACAAATTTATCAAAATATTTAGGATAACTTCACTGAATTTTATATTAATACTGATTATTTAGATAGTTTTGTTACTCAACAGATTCTAGCAATATCCTACACGTAAGTAGGAAGGCATATCATAATTCAGGAGTCTTAGATGGATTCTATTTGGTAACTCAATACCAAATTAGCTATAATAATAAATCATCATCACTTTCCAAAGTGCTAACATTTTTTAAAATAAATATATTTATAATAACAACAAATGATATTTATTTTATGCTTACTTATTACAGAGACAGGGCTGAGTGCTTTATATATATTTAAGCCTTTAACAATCCTATGAAGAATGTATTATTGTTCCCATTTTACAAACGAAGAAACTGAGGCTTAGAGATAAGTAACTTGTTAAGTCACTAAGAGTTAAGTAACTTGTCCAAAGGTATAGAATTAGTGACATTATAAATTATCATGTAGGTAGGAATCTATGTGAATTACTTTCTAGAATATTTTAAAACTATCATTAGAGGGCTTCCCTGGTGGCGCAGTGGTTGAGTGTGCCCCGGAGCAGCTGGGCCCGTGAGCCATGGCCGCTAAGCCTGCGCATCCGGAGCCTGTGCTCCGCAACGGGAGAGGCCACAACAGTGAGAGGCCTGCGTACCGCAAAAAAATAAATAAATAAAATTTTAAAAGAAAATCATCTTTAGAGATTCTTTTCTTCTCTGTTCCTTCTAGGGCCATGATCAGATTGAGAATAAAAGAATCTTTAATTTCCTACCTTGCTATTATGATAACAGCTCATAGGACAAAAAGATAATACTGAGGTTTTAACAGTTTAAAACTATTAAACAGGCTCTGGTTACTTATTATGAAAATAAACCTTCTGACTTAAAAAAAACAAACAAATAGCACCACCCAATTCTCTTCTTAGAGCAGTATATGGAAATAAGTTAATTTATTGAGTAATTATCATGTGCTGCGCATGATGCTAAGCACTTTATGTGAATTATATCATTTAATCCTTACATCCTGCCAAGGAGGCACTGTTTTTATCCTAATTTATAAATGAGGAAACTAAAGCTCAAAGTCACTCGGCTAGTTAAGTGACAGAGTCAGGATTCAAGCCTGGCCAATTTTCCAGCACTGACTTGTTTAACCACTGTGCATACTACCACTCCGTAAGTATTAGTGCCAAGCATAAAAGAAAAATATACTTAAGATCAGTCTTTCTATCCTATCATAATCCTCATATCACATATCTTAAGAAAGAGTAAAATATCAAAAAACAACAGTTTTATTTTAAATTAGAAAGAGATTAAATTTGGCAAAACATATGGTTGGTATAAAAATGCTTTTCTTAACTGTTAAAAGAGAAGAGTCTAATTTGACAGCTGAGATTGTTTTTGCACCTCGTCATGCAGTTCCAGCTAACTGATACTGAGTCATTTCCTTGGTAAAGTAGAAATTGAAACTAAACTCCCATACGTTTTGCTTAAGTCACTGTCCTGTAAAGATATTAGTTGGTGACTTGGTGACCAGGCAAATCCTAAAAAAGAAAAAAATGAAAAATGATAACCTCAGTGTTGAAGTACTTGATTTAAAATATTTATACTTCCAACCAATAAATTCCTCTGACAATCTGCACTACAAGGGAACAATTTTTCAGATGGAACATTATATAAAGTGCTGCCGCCACTTTCTGTAAATATACAGAAAACAAGGTTCTTTTAACCCTGGCTCTGACCAATCATCTCTGTGGCCTTTCTTAATAATTTATTGGTAACCAAAATCTCTGCACATATTAGACACTCCACCAATATTTGAAGAATTAAATCTGGCTTTATTCTACTCAGTCCATTTGTGTAAAACTATACATGCAGAAAGAAAACTTTTTAGAAACACTTGAAGAACTATAAATGTAAAAAATTATTTAAGCGAGTATAATCTACATATGTCTGAAATAGAAAATATGATAATATATGATATCACTACATAAATTTTAACAATGAACAAAGGTACTTCAAAAAAAGTAATTTGACTAGGTATTAACAAAATCATTCCAGTCATAGCCTAAACTGGGTTAAATTAGGTATTTCAAAAATGACTCTCAGATCCATCATCCAGAAAGATCCTCTGAAAGTGTCATAACGGTTACAACAGGAGAGACTCTTGTAAAATAATCTTTCCTATTATGCTTGGTATAATAGGTAACAGATAAAAAGGTAGGCATAAGCTCCCCCTCAAATATAAATTAATGGTGCTTGAAGTCAATATCAAAGACTAAAATCAGTAGGTTTCCAATTTGAAAAGCCTAGATGACCACATAATTCAGTTCTACAAAATTTAAAAGTCTAATTAAAGTAGCTTAAGATGCTGAGTTGCTCAATATTTATGCCTAAATTCTTCTGTGACTCAAGGAGACAGGAACTGGCACTCCTGTTCTTGCCCCAGGATACAGAAGAGGTAAGGTCTCTACCCTGATCCAACTCATGGCATTAGCCAGAGTTAGCCACCTTCCAGAGTAGCATGGCCACAAGGAGGAGTTCAAGGTAGTGATGGAAATGGAGATGGGCCAAGAGCTGAATCCCAATTCTTACAGCTCCATAAGCACATATAGGTAGGCATTCACAGACAGACAGACACACATACACACACCCTCCCCAACAAGGTTCCCTAACCACGTGACAGTGGTCATATTGCAAAAATTTTCAAATCCTATCTTCATACTTATTTCCAATATTAAAGAAAATAAAAGCATGTAACATCAACAAGACTGTCAACAAAACCATAGTGATTAATGTTGACAAAAAAAGAAAAACTACATTCAAAGTACTATGTCCTAAGGCCTGGGTGAAAGCTAGAAACTTACTGATTTTAGAGGTATTCTTATCAAAATAAGGAGGGCAACAGCTTAAAATACATATGATTCTTTGAAACACAAACCCATTTGTAACTTCTTTCTATATTTTTGTTTCAGAAATCATTTATTGAGCAACTCTTATGTTCCAGAAGATGTGTTACACAAGAAACTGAGATTTCATAGAAGTACTGGACACTGTATTCAGGATTCTTGAAATTTAAGGTCAAATGACATGTGTAAGCAAATAATTATAGCAAAGTGTAATTTATGGCAGAAAAAAATGTTATATTCTTTTTATAGGCATCTGAATAGAAAATTTACAAATTCTCATTGTTCATGACCCACAAAATTTCATTCAGGCAGTTTGCTCTAAAAGAGATGAAATTTTACCTGTGTTACATAAGGTTGCAGGGAGTGGGAAAAGTGGTCTCTGGACAAACTGATGCAGAGGCTGTTTCTTAATGGTATATGGATTCATCATATGACAGAATCTACATTTAAAAACAAATAAAAATGACATTTTAAGAGATAATCTCTTAAGCTCAAGTTTCTACTTCTCATATATAAAACAACCATAATGAAAATAATAACAAAGATGAATTTTCATTTTCCATCCACAACATTATTTCCACTCCCTCACACAAGCAATATCTACAAACAATTTAAAAACAAGAGCTCAAGGGGAGATTTACAGCCTTTATAACTGAGTGTATATAGAATATACAATACCTGGTGTAAAGAAACAGAAATGCATCTACATTAGTGATTTATAACCTGGAGTTCCAGACTCTTAGGTATGCATGAAGGAGGCAAAGAGCTACAAACTGTTTTTCCCATTTTAGATTTAAAAACAACTAAGTGATAGAGTCACATGGTTCAAAATTCAAAGGGAAGAAAAGTAAATACAGTGAAAAGTCTTCCTCCTTTTCTGTCTCTACCACCATGTTTCCATGGAAAGAGACAACCTACGCTATTTGTTTTGAAAGGCATTTCAATACCTCCAAAAGTCTAATCGAAAATATACTATTCTCCACCAAACTGCTAAAGAAGTCAACAGTCTATACGTGCTTTCTGACTGGAAACATATTGATGCTGCTTTGTAACTTTGGTTATTTTACTCTGAATATAATCAGAATGAAATAACCAAAGTTACAAAACTTCCGAAGTGTTGACTGGCTTTTTTTTTTTTTTTTTCATGGATTTGGCTAATTAAAAACAAAGGGAGAAGGGAAAACCAAATACTACTAGAAAAGTAAACAAAAGGAGATGTTACTAGTGAAAAATTTTAGAAATCTGATGCAAGTTACATGAAAATGCAGTTTACTTTAAAATACTATTGCCATCCATTCCAATTTTCATTTCACAGGAGTCACTGAGGAATTTTAAACATATTTATGATCACTTTTTGTTTTTTACGTTTCTCTGATTATTTTCAACCTGCAAACTCATACAGAGGAGGGACTGTCTTCACTGCTGTCCCTAGCCACTAGCATGATGACCTACCTCAGTTCCTCATTTCTAAAATGAAGTTAATATTCACCGCTAACTCATAAAGACTGGGGCAAACACGGATCCAGATAGTCCTTGTAAAGTGCTTACAACAGTGCTAGGCCATGTAGCATGTGTTCAATAAATGTTAGCTACCGCTATTATTAGTATGCGATAGGTGTCCAACAATGATTCATTAAATGGAATTCAGGTTTGGGGGGAAAGCATTTTTATCTATAGCACACTGCCTAAATCTTGGATACCTTGCAATATGGAAGTACACCGAGGACGGAACTACACCTGGAATACTTTCCTTTCAGCCCACGGAAAAGGCAGAATGGAGATGGGTTTTTGTATATTCTGACGGAGGTGGGTTTACAATAATAAAATAGTAAAGGTGAGTTACATTATTCCAGGAAGACATCTACTCAAAAATAAGAGAGGGAGACAGGAGGTGACTAACAAAAAAATCCTTCTGCAAACCTAATTATTTTAGGAAACGCATTTCAACTTCAAGAGCATCATTAGCACTAAAACCCCTAACAAACACTCAGGAGGTCAACCCTTGTTAGGCCCTCTTCTCCTTTTGTTCCATAAGAGAAACCAGGGTACAACAATCTACTGAACGTCCTCAGTGCCTTTCACCTAACCAGTGTTAACAGATGTCCCTGGGAAGCCAAACGCAAAGACAGGGCAAATGGAAAGAGGAAAGACAAGGGAACGGAGTGGGTTTGGTGGGTGGGGCGCGGAAATCTGGAGTTCCAGCACTTAGATGCTCTGTGACTTCAGATAGGTGACGTTCCCCTTCTAGGTAGGCCTCACTGAGAAAATGAGTGACATTCTGACGTTCTGATTTTGTGTTTAAAAGGCAGAGCGAATGCATGGGGTGGAGGGGCCCCGATTTAAAAACAACTCCTCTGTGGAGTCCCTACAGCCGGTCTCTGAGAGTCTCCCCACCACAGGGACTCAGGCACCGGGTCTCGGAGCCTGGGACAAGGCCGGCAGGGCCTGCCAGAACCGGGTCGCAGAGCTGCCTCACCGAGAGCCGCCCACCTCAGGGTTTAAACCCCCAACTTCGGCGATGGGGGTGGACCCAAAGGCAAGGTCAGGGGCACTTCTCCCCACCTGGTGTAAGAGAGGGCGGGCGCGGAGGCGACCGCTCTGCTGGCTAAGCCCAGCGGTACCGCTATACGCAGCCCCGGGCTCACCACTTACCGCCTCCGCAGCCCAGCGGCAGCCGCCGCAGCTCCCCGGCCCAGGAGGGCCGCCGCCGCCATCTTGGTCCGAGTGCGCAGGTGTGGGATAGGCCGCTCCACTCCCCCACAGCCTTCGCAGCGGCGCTCAAGCCCCGCGCAGGCGCAGGCCGGCCGGGATCTGGCAAGGCACCGTGGATAGCGCACCCTACCGGCCGCGCGCGGCTCTGCTGCGGATGAGCGGGGCGGGCTTGCGTCGGCTGTTTGAAATCATTACCTACCTACTTCCCGAGGCTGGGAAACGGGGAAAAAAGAAATCCTTGCGAAGCTTGCGCAGGCGTCCTCAAGCAAGCAAGAGGGACTCCGCACGCATGCGCGGAACAGTACATTGCTTTTCCCACTTGGTAGGTGCTGCGTTTGCACAGCCTGATCCTGCGGAACATCCTAGACCCGCCTATTGCCTCTGGTAGGAACCCGCTTGCCATTCAGGCCCAGTTCAGTGACTGTCTCAAAAGATGCCCTGAAGCATACCCTGGGAAGGTTCTCGCCTTTCTCCAGCGAGCTGCCTGCTCTTCTCCCATGGGGCCCTTGTGGACCTGGGTTAGGCTGGGTTTGTGGACTCGGTCATGTTGGACCAACAAGCGCAGAGAACTCACCTCGTGTGGAGCTGCCTTTTGCTGTATAAGCATGAGTATTGAGTGATTTCCAGAGCAAAGTACAAAAGTTCGTTAACTATTCTCCAGGATCTTACTGGGGTAAAAAGCTTTCTCAAGGACAGCTGTTCTCAAAATGTGGACTGAGGGCAGCAACCGCATGGGAACATGTGGGAAGTGCAAATTATCACACAGCACGTTAGACCTACTGAATCACAATCTCTGGAGCTGGGGTCCAGTAATCTGCTTTAACAAACCCTCCAGGTGATTCTGATGCAGGCTAACGTTTGAGAAGCACTGTTCTAGAAGATATGCACAGAGGACTGGTTTCTGTAAGGGAAACAACACACCTGTTGTCGGACAAGTTGAGACCACATGGAAGGGGAGGCCTCTGAGGGGGTGGGCGAGGCTTCAGGCTGTGGCTGCTCTGGGGCTGGACACGTGAGCCTCCTCTGAGTGCATCTTACATTCTCAAGGCTGCGTGTTGGCTTCTGTCTTTGCTGACCCATTCTAGACCTCAGTGTCATCCACGGCTTTCCCCTTTACTCTCTTCTAGACCTTGAATCAAGTGTGCAATGTGGCTCTTCCACCCAAGAACATACCCCAGTTAGGAACCATCTTGCTGTCTTCAACTTCTCCCTCTCTTATCTGTTCCTTCCCATAAGAAAAATCCTGCCTTGCCCCAAACCACCTTAAAACCACCACTTTTTCTTCCCCCAGCAAAGTCGAATGGCATAAAAGAGTTGTCTACACTTTTAGCCTCTAGTTTTTCACCTCCCACTCTTCAAACCACTGAAAGCAGCCTTCTGTGTCCCACTGGTGTGGGGAGGGGAGCTGATCTAGTCAAGACCACCCACATCATCCATGTTGCTGAACCTGAAGGATCCTTCTTGGGTTTTACCTTTCTTGACCTCTGGAACGTGGAATGCTAAGGGTCTCTCCCTCCCTTTCGTAATCTGATTCCTTGGCTTCCCTGGCACCACAACTGCCAATTTTTCCTATTATTTTTCTGGTTACTCCTTCTCCTTTCTCCTTTGCAGAATTTCATCTGCCCGCCGCTTAAGTGTTGGTGCTTTGGGGGACCTCATTCCAGGTAGTACTCTTACGATTTGTGTGTGTGTGTGATTAATTGACAAACTTCAATTAATTGACAAACTTCAGGGAGTTATGCCAATTAGCATTTCAGTCAGCCACCAAAATATGTTTCTCTCCCTTGCAAAAACTGGATTAAAAAAATCTGGGAGGGGGTCTTCCCTGGTGGTGCAGTGGTTAAGAATCCGCCTGCCAAGGCAGGGGACATGGGTTCGAGCCCTGGTCCAGGAAGATCCACATGCTGCGGAGCAACTAAGCCTGTGCGCCACAAGTAGTGAAGCCTGTGCGCTATAATTACTGAAGCCTGCACTCCTAGAGCCCGTGCTCCGCAACAAGAGAAGCCACCGCAATGAGAAGACTGCGCACCACAACGAAGAGTAGGCCCCGCTCGCCGCAACTAGAGAAAGCCCGCGCACAGCAACGAAGACCCAACGCGGCCAAAATAAATAAATAAAATAATTCTTTTTTTGCCAATTATTGGTCATTTACATTAAGTGGAAAACAAAACTGGTTAGAAACAGCACCTACAGTATGATCGCATTTACGTAAAATAGTTTGTGTCCCTGAGTATGTGCTTGTATGTGTGAGCATAAAGTGTCTGGAAGGCTGACTGCCAGCCTCCTTTCTCTTTCCCCTCCTCTGGCTGTTTTCAGTTCCTTAAATATGCTGAATTATTTCCCACCTAAGGGCCTTTGTATAAATTGTTCCCCCTTCAGGGAACAGTGCAGAAAGCCACAGGCAACCCCAGGCAAGGAAAAGGACCACTGCTTCATGATCCCAAGCCCCTTCCTTGCAGGAGGCAGGTGTAGAAAGAGGAGAAGAATGGTCTTTGAGCCTAACCAAGGGAAAGGAAGAAAGCTCTAAGGCAGATACAAGATGGAAGTTTGAAAGACTTGGCTAGATTTTTTAATACTTGACAGTAAGATAGAAAATAAGATAGTTTTTAAAGATGAAAGTAACCAGAAAGCAATGGGATTTGCTGAATTTCAATCAAGGAGTGAGGCAGGAAGAACAAAAAGATGACATTTAAGCCCTTTTTCTGATTGTATCTTACTGAACTCATTCTGTTCAAAATACTGGTTGTATATATATATTTTTAACCATTCCCTTTACTAGCTACTCCAAAGATATCCAGTTCCTCCTCATTCTTAGCAGATTTGACTTCACAGAGAAAAAGATAGAGGCCTTGGTGGTAGCAGTGGTGGCAACTGACTCTCTAAACTATTAAAGCCTTGCACAAGCTCACATGCTTATCTCTTTCTGCTGAAGGCATCCAGAATATTCCACTTCAGGAGCTTTGTTTGGAACTACCCTTATCTACCTAAAAGTAGAGCCTCCCAAAAGATTTCAAGTGTTATAAATCCTCTCCCCAGGAGTCTAGCAACCAGGAAAGATTGACTCTTATCACTGAAGAGGAGAATTGGCTCAGGGATAAGAAATCGCCTAAGCAGACATTCTCACAAAGCTATCACATCTCTATTCTCATAAGAAACCATTTATCTTTTCCTAAAAATCATTTGTTTTCTCATAGGTGTCCTTCTCCCCTTCTCCTTCCCCTTCTCCTTCCCTTTGATGGAAGAAATGTTCACTTACTGACGTATGGGGAAGTTATTCTGGCTTATACATGATTTGGCTTGAACTTTATGCTAACTAAAATAGTCTGTCTTATCACCTGTCAACCATATATTGTACACGTACTTTAACCATTGAAAGAATGTTGCCCACCATCCAGTTATATAAAGGGTTAAGTCACAGTCCGTTGCTGTGGTTCACAGTGGGAGCCCTGAAGGGAATTCAGGGGGAAAAAACCAGCCCAGGATAAGGCATTCTGCGTTTTGAATAAACTGGCCCCTAGATAGTTATGATGCAGACCTCAGGAAGAATTTCAATGACCCCAGATTCTTGCATCTTCCCATACATAGAAGGTCACTAAAATCATTAACTTGAGATCGCTGTTCTTTGTGATTAGCAGTCATCTTTTATCAGGATCTATGCTTGACCGGCCAAAAACATCAGGTATCTCTGGGCTCCTCCCCTACCTCTTCAGAACAGTCTTCTCAGAGCTACTGAGAGGCAGTTTCTCAAGCTATAGTCCTGAGTTTGGCTTGAATAAAACTCTCTTCTATTCTTATTTAGATTGTTTATTGATTATTTTGTTTGTTTGTTTGTTTTTGTTTTTCAGTACTCGGGCCTCTCACTGCCGTGGCCTCTCACGCCGCGGAGCACAGGCTCCGGACGCGCAGGCTCAGCGGCCATGGCTCACAGGCTCATACGCTCCGCGGCATGTGGGATTCTCCCAGACCGGGGCATGAACCCGTGTCCCCTGCATCGGCAGGCGAACTCTCAACTACTGCGCCAGCAGGGAAGCCCTGCTTATTGATTATTTGCAGCAGCACCTTATTAAGATGATATTGGGTTGGCCAAAAAGTTCGTTCGGGTTTTTCCGTAACCCGGGCTTCATGAAAAACCCGAACGAATTTTTTGTCCAACCCAATATATATAAGACCCAAATTCTAACTGCCACCATGAGTTATATTTTTCTGTGAATGCCCATGTAAGTATGTGAATAAAAATCTCTTTCCTTTGTAATAAGCTAAAGGGGAAAAGAATTTGAAAAAGAAGAGATACAGGTATATGTATAACTGAATCACTTTGCTATACACCTGAAACTTACACAACGTTGTTAATCAACTATGTTCCAATAAAAAAAAAAAACCACCTCTTTTCTCTTGCTAATCTATCATTTGGAAGTTTAATTTGCCAGCCCTCAAGAGTTGAACCTAAGAGTGTAGAGAGAAAGTTTTCCTCTCCAACACTGCACTAATCCTACCTCCTTCTTCCCATAGCAGAAGAGGCATCTTTCTTACCCAAAGCCAGTACCTCCACCTGTGTTCTCAGTCCATCTGCTTCCTTACTCCCCCTCCCAGTCCTTAGGGACTTCACCCAATTTATTATTTTTTTAAGTAAAATTTTTGTTCAGAATATATTAGATTTACACAAAATTTGCAAAGATAGTACAGATTGTTTCTGTTTATCCCTTACCCAGTTTTCCCTGTTGATAGCATCTTACATTACCATTATACATTTGCCACAGCTAAGGAACCAGCATTAACCAAACTCCACAGTTTCGCGTTATTCTCTTGGTTAGACTGGGGTTATGGGTTAGGGGGAGGAAGACCATAGAAGGAAGTGCCCTTCTCATCACATCATAGGGTTCGTGTTATCAACATGACCTATCACTGTTGCTATTAACCTTGATCATCTGGCTGAGGCAGTGTTTGTCAGGTTTTTCCACTGTGAAGTTACTCCCTTCTCCTTCCCCTTCCATACACTACGTTTTTTTTGTTTTTTTTGTTTTTTTTGTTTTTGCAGTACGCGGGCCTCTCACTGCCGTGGCCTCTCCCATTGCGGAGCACAGGCTCCGGACGCGCAGGCTCAGCGGCCACGGCTCACGGGCCCAGCCGCTCCGTGGCACATGGGATCCTCCCGGACCGGGGCACGAACCCGCGTCCCCTGCATTGGCAGGCGGACTCTCAACCACTGTGCCACCAGGGAAGCCCCGTACACTACTCTTTGAACGCACAACCCACACTTAAGTTTTGTGGAATTAAGCTCCACTTTGGGGAGATGGGGGAGCTAAATAAATTAACTGAAATTCTTCTGTATATGTCTTTTCTTCATTTATTTATTCAGTCATTTTTTATATCAGCATGGGCTCATGGATATTTACTTTATACTTTGTTGTAACCTAATACTATGTTATTTATTTCATTGCTTAAGTTGTTTCAGCTTTGAGCATTGGAAGTTCATTCAGGTTGGGTCTGTGCCCCTGTGATTTTATTTATTATTATTTTTAGCACTCCTTTACTTTCCAGCACTACAGATGCTCCTGCTTCATTTTGTATATTTCCTGCTCCAGCCCTAGAATCTGCAATTTCTCCATGGAGCCCTGCTTCCATGGAGAAATTCCATTAGAGAATGGTTTTTAGAAACGAAGATCTGGGTGCTGGGTGTGCTTACTGTCCATTTACTTTTCATTTTGTTATTCCTTCATCTTCATCTGCTCCCTCTCTACAGATTGTTTCTCCTTAGCTGCTGGCATACAGACATATTCAAGTGTTTCCCTCATTAATCCTTCTTTATCCATGTTCCCCACTGGCAAGCCCCCTAGATCTCTCTTCATTTCTGTTCGAGCTCTTAGCATGGTCACATTTTATATGAATTTGAAAGTGCTATATGAAAGATTAGTAAAGTCTCAACTTGTGTGCAAAATATAAAATAAATACAAATATAAAAAACTGTCAGGTAAAGCACAATTTCAGGTGGGCTGAGGGAATTGTGATATTACCACATGTTGATGCCACTAAAGCTGGTGAATCAAACAGAAATAGCTAACATTGATTGAGCACTTAAAGTGGGCCATTTTCTAAGCACACCTCATAGCAATCTATATCATGGGCATTTAATGTTATCCCCATTTTACAGATGAAGAAACTGAGTCCCTTAGAAGTTCAGTAATGTTTCAAGATTACACAGCTAGGAAATGATGGACAAGGGATCAATTTCCTGTGCAATGTATTTCCATTTTATTGTAATTATATTCATTGGAATCCAGCCTTTTCTATATACATTTTACAATGGAGATTTATTCGTCAATTTTTAGTTCATTTCAAATTTTACCAACGGTTTCTACTACTGAGTTCTCTTGTGGCCACTATACCTACTAAATTCAACTTTCCTGAATCAAAATTTTGATTTAAAATGTCAAGATTTCAGTCTTCCATCAATTTTTGATGTGCAGTTTTAGCTGTTTTGAATTTTACTTGAATATGTCTACCAGTAGTATTCATTATAAACTGAAAAAAGGCTGACAGTTTATATTTAATTTTTGATTACTCTAAGAGAAAATTGTGATCCATTCCTCTCAGATAACGTGAGGTTTCTCTAAAGAGTGAAAAATAAAATGTCCTTGAGGTCAAAAGGTCCTGCTCAAAAACAGGATGAGGCATGGGAGATCTGGTAGAACTACTAATTTCACAATATCTGACTTAAAGAATTCCACATGTAGCAATGGCGTTGGTCCCAAATCTCAGCACTGGAATACTGGGCTGCCTTCTGAAGGGAATACTTGGAGTCCTTTGGGCCTCTGGGCTAAGCTTACATAAAAGCAGGTTGAAGAAGTACTTGGTCTCCTTCCTTGTAGGCTGACATACTTCAATATGAGGAAAGATAAACTCAAGGAAAAAACACATGATGTAAGGGGAAAGATCTTTATCTTCAAATACAGAGAAACAGGTCTAAACCATTTATTCTTGGCTTTTCCCTGGGTCTCGCTCTGGTTCCTTCCACTTGGTTCTAACCTAGGGGACAATCCAAGGGCACCTCCTCCCTGGCTGGTCTCTTACCAACCAGTCTCAGGGCTGGCAAAAGTGAGTCATCAAAGGCTGTATGCAGAGAGACCACCCCAGGGGAGCTGGAGCTTCTAATTCTGGCTCTCCCTACAATTAAGGCAGAGATAAGTCACCACAGGTAAGCTCTGTCCACCTCTGCAGAAGGCTTCTCCTGCATCTCAGTGGGAGTGATGCATCTGAAAGGGTTTCCCCCAGAACAGTCTGAGTCACGATAAGGAAGACTACTTTTGGCTAATGAGAACTTGAAATAGAAAAAACATAAGAACTTCACATTGTAGAACTAGGTAGGGCACATGTTTAAAGATAGATAGATGAATCAGATCTTAAATAAATCTTCAGAAAAAGTAGGCAACTCTGGCTTTATTCATGCATCTTATACTAGAGCTCTTTGGATCCCTGGATCTTCTTTGAACACCATGTCTGTGAACTCAGCCCATTACCAATTCTTCCTGAATCACGGATGTCAAGCTCATTAAAGCTTTGTTATTTTCTCAGATTTGGAAAGGACATGGGCAGGCAGGTTTTCTCCACAGTATGGATTTAAAAATTTTTAGGTATAATCCACTTCCACTAAAGATTTCTCTCTTTAGTTTCTTATGGTCTCTCTTTAGGGATTTTTTTTTTTGGAAGACTGCATATTAATGCAGGTCACATTCAGATAACACATTTTAGAAGTTCACAGGAAACTTTACATTGCAGGGAGCTCTGTGATTTTCCCAGCTCAGTCCTTATGGCTCCATTATCCTGTATTATTTCATTTATGCCTCCACAAACATCTAGATGAAAAGCAGGTCTCAGGAAATAACAATGCCAGCATTGGAAACCAACCAACCAATCAACCAACCGACCAAGAGTTGCTCTTTGAAACTTAAAAATGTAGAGCTAGGCTTGGTACTAAGTGAAAGGTGCTTATGGAGTCCTTCAAGCCTAGGAAGATCTGACTTAAGAAATAATACAAAGTGTAAATCATTTATTTTAATTAGGTCCATTTTAATAAAGTGTACAGGAGTTTACAACTCAAACAAGTATTCATAAAAACTATCAGATACATAAGATAGCTCACACAAAGGGTGCAGTAACATAAACCCAAGAGTCTGCAAAAAAGAGGTATTGCAAGAACTGTTAAGATTAACTCTATAAATGTTTTTTCCCTTTCTCATGTTCACAGACCTTGAGATTGTATGCACATATTGTTTCCTGAGGTCTGATGACCTCAACACTCCTTACAGCTGGGTCGACCTCCTCATTCAGTCAACTCAAAATATAGTCAGTAGGAGTTCGTTCACCTCTTCTGCTTGGAACGAGCATGGTCCTTGGCCTTTATTCCATTCCTATCCCCTAACAAATGACGTTAAATATTCCCTCTTTCAAAGTAACATATTGCAGGCCTTGTAGTATTCTGCTCACTACTGCCCTCCCAATACCACACATGAGAGTTTAGGTCAAACCCTACTGAGTTTTATCCTTGTGGATGAGAAGAGCATGCTTACTGTGGAAATGAGTCTAAGGCAATGGCTGCTTTCTCTCACCGTTGTCCAGTACAACTCCAGTTCTAACTCGGTAGGCTAACGGAACTGAATTTACTCATTTCAAATACCTACTGTCACCTCTTGGTATTCTTTGGATGCCTTCATTAGGAGGTCTTCAACACCATGGCAGAAAGCATGAGGATACACACACACACTCCAATCACACTCCTCAAACAAGAGTCTTTGGTAGACTCAGATACAACTGACTTGCCATTTCAGAGTGGGAGGGTGATATTGTCTTCTCTCACTCCCAAAATCTCACTTTAACTGACATTGGTAAAAAAACCACTTCTGTTATTCCTTACCAAAAGGAATCACATAGATCCCTCTAACACGTATATATGGTTCTATTAAATGCAATGTAGATGACATTGACTTAATTTCAAGAAAAAAACATTGTTATTATAAACTCAAAACACTTTCACTCATACTGAGATTGCAGAGAAGTAACTCAGACTAAATTTCTTATGGAATTACAAGTTACAGGAATACTGGACTAAGCCACCAGTGTGCTGGTTAACATTTAGCCTCTTTTTTTGGCTTGTGGGATCTTAGTTCCCTGACCAGGGATCGAACCTGGGCCCACGGGAGTGAAAGCACAGAGTCTTAACCACTGGACCACCAGGGAATTTCCCCATTTAGCCCTTTTTACAAGCTACTCTAGAGTCCCTTCAAACATAAACTTGCCCCTGCATTCTAGGGCACTCTGGGCCTGTGTTAGATCAAGGTAGAGAGCATGAGGTTTCTGGGCTGTGTCTCCAGAGTAAGGCTGGGCTTCTGCCAACCTTCCTTCATCCTTTCTTCTAGTCCATAAGAAAAGGGGAAGGTGAGCCATTTCACTCTTATTTGGAATTATTCCAGTGTGGTGAGATTATCACAGGCTAGGCTAAAATTTAAGAAAAAACTGTTTACAGTAACAAGGGAGGCAAATAAAAATTAGCATGATCATTCATTCAGTCATACCTCTCACTCCCCACTTATTGGTACGATTATAATAGGGGAATGTCAAGTGAGGAAATGAACAAGGAACGTGAGCCAGGAAGACTTGCAGGGGTAGAGAAAAAGCAGGAAAGACCTGTGTCTGGCAGTTTAAAGATGGGATCTGGGCATCACATGTGGGAAGCCTGTTTCCTAATAAAGGTCAAGGTGCAAATGAGGCCGGTAGGACCAGGAAGTCAGAGAGCAAGATGGCGTCCTGGCAATCAAGACACTGCCAGTGTGGATTCCCACATTGAAGCTGAGCAGCTAGTTGTTTTCACAGCCTAGCAAATTTATCTTGTAGCAAAAGAACACAAAAACAATTCCCAGCCAGATACTACTTTTTATTTTCAAGCATTTTGAAATCCTTCCTTAAGTGAACTTCACAAGTTTGCAAGTGTTCTGGTGGTTAAAACAAACAAAACCAACCAACAAACAAGTAGTCGACAGTCACTGGAAAAAGCAAGAATTTAAATTTACATGATTACATTTAAAATCTTCATGTTTACTCCAGAAAGCAGGATTGGAGGATTAGAACTCAGGGATGGCTGTGGGCATTTACAAGGAGCTCTTGCCTCCTTACAAGCTGTGGTCTCTTCAGAGGCTCTCCTATGTACCTTTCATCAGAATAATCTGGGTTCCAAATTTCTCATAGAAAACTGCATCTGTGACCAGCAGCAATTCCGAACTTGACTGGCCTGTGTTCTCCAATTTTAATTCCAAACACACAGCAGAGAATAACATCTTTCTTTATTAAAGGGACCCAAAGGACTCCATTTTAGGTAGTATCCTTCCTGCTAAAGAGTGAGTTGGATCTCACCTTTCTCTAGTTTCCTATAATAAAATTTCCTATTTGATAGGATGCATACATACTATATAACCTATGTTTTGACAACTTCCTTAGGGAAGCAAATACAGCATGATCGAATTTCTATTGTCAGAATCACTCTGGTGATTACACCTATTTTAAAGAAAACTGAAATCCGCTACTTTTTGAGTCAGCGAAATGTCCACCAAATAGTTGAAAACATTGATGTACGTGTATTCTAAAGCTTACTAAATAATGGGTCAATAAGATACTGGCATTTTTCTTGACAGTTCACAAAGGTTGCCAGGTTAAACTCAGACCTAACATGGGCGAGTGAATACATATACACCAGTCCACACATATGAAATTTTCAACTCAACAATGAGTGGGCCCAAAACGAAATGGACTTTGTGACCTAGATTTCTTTGGGTCCTGCCCTGCATCTGCTTCAAGCGTCAAATTTTGTTCATTCCATTTTCCAATCTAACCAGGATTTGGAGCTAAAGGGTTATCTGTGTGTGAACCCAAGAAACAGACATGCTAAATATTTTTTACCACACATAAGATAACTTCATGAATTCAACAGTGCCTGTTAGTCCATTAATGTGGATCCTTTAAGAGTTCATTAGTGCACGCCGCGGGTCAATGCTTTATGTCTAAATGTACCCTGGATCATTGTGCTCCACTGAAATGAAAGGTCACAGGTTCCTGCATTCCGTATATGTGTAAAGCAAGTAACACATAAAACAAACTAAAACAAGTAATGCAGTATTTTGTTGACTATATGTTTTCTTTTTCTCCTTAGCGTTAACCTAATGCAGTAGTTGTTGGAAACATGCATTCGCTACTAATTCAAAGCGCCCTGAGCACTCCTGATTCCCTTAAAACGAAAATTTTCCAGATTTCCAGATTCAGGATGGACTCTGGCAAGAACATTTTATCTTTATTATTTTTTTATTTTTTGGCCACGCCGTGCAGCATGCGGGATCTTAGTTCCCTGACCAGGGATTGAACCCATGCCCCCTGCACTGGGAGTGTGGAGTCCTGACCGCTGGACCGCCAGGGAAGTCCCAAGAACATTGTGTCTTTAAATGATGCATTTACTCTATATGATCCAAAGAAGATCAGCGCAGAGTTCACTAGTTATTAACTAATAATTAATGTAATCCGATAGTCCTAAAATTTTCATGCATCATTCAGTAAGAACACCACAAAAGTAATCTGCATGTGTTTATATTCATTTCTTGTTCAAAAAAGGTATTTAGAGTCTCCAGCCATCATAGGTCTCCAGTGAGAATAAAAAAGGATTACAAGCACAGCTTGAAAAATGATTCAATTATGTAATCAAATTACCAAGATTTTATTGATTTTCACCTTGAGAACTAAAATGATCAGAAGGGGAGTGATCAAATAACCAAAGGAAAGTCATTTTGCAGGGCTGTTACAGAGGTAATCCTGAACACCTCTGGTGAATTAGAATGACCTTCTGCTTTAAGAGTTTCTGGGGTGAGAACTCTCCTTGAATATTCCCATCCTTTTCACTCCTGCACGTGAAGGCTTTAATTGATAAAGGCAAGGGAAGAGCTTGGGGTGCTAAGTTCCACACCTGTTAGCCAAAACTATTCAAATGGAAAGATGATTCTACATCCACTGTTACACAGAAAATTCAGAAATGATCATTGGGAGAAAAGCCCAATGAACATTTAACATCCATAAAAGTGAAGGACCAGCACTGCTGAAACCTCAGTTGGAAAATCATTGCTAGGAGCCCTGATCCAGTGCCTATTATTTAAATTTATCCTTTAACCTGGACAGCTGAAATAGGTGGAGACTAAACTAGAAAATGTCTTGAAAAGTGTCTGTTCATATTTTACTGCCAAGATCCCTGAACTTCAGATTTAAAAGTGTGACACTTAACTGCAGTTGAGTTTGGCATTCAGGCTTGATTCTTGGACAAATTTCCCATAATCTTTAAATCATTAATCTGGGTTGGTAAGCAACTCTCCCAACATCTCCAGCTAACGGAGAAATCACTAACATTTACTACAAGTCACAGGAAGCTTTCAAGTTGAAATAGGAAATTGAACATCTTCAGCAGAAATCTTCCCACTGAGACATAAGTTTCGTTTTAAGGCACTAATAATAAAGGGTATGAAAACAGCCAAGAATAAGTCAGATCTTTCCAGAAATACAAGACATTTCAAAAACACAAGTGAGGCACCTATCTGACCTACTTTAGCATCCAAGGGGACAGAGAATTGAAAGGTTTTCATGGCTGGCTGGTTCAGCTCTTTTCCTTTCTCCCAAACTTATTTACATGTCTCAGATTTCTATTTCCTCAAGAAGCAGTAGACAAAGGTGACAAGGATGTGGAAAAACAAACAAGCAAATCTAGTTTGTAGCCTAGTCTCATGATTAATTAATTTCCTATTGACAGCATGGAGTGCTCAGACCTAAGGTTTTTAAGTACTTTTTAAAATTACTTAGACCACAAACCCAGTGTTTGGAACTGTAACATTGTGCTCTTTTCTATTGTTCTGAGGGGGAACTGTATAAGGATAATTAATTTTTCAAGCCTGTGTAAATGGAATTTGTTCATAGCAAATTCTAGAGGGAAAAAAAAAATCTACTTAGAAACTTCAGTTCCAACAGGATTTTCCTATACATTCCAATGAATTCAATTTTGCCATGAGAAAAGAACGCAATAAAAACAGGGTTCAAGTCAGTTAGGTCAGGAGACCAATGTCAGCAAATGAGTGATTGTGGAGGTACGCGAGGTGGGACAGGGTTTAGCTAAAGGAAGAATGTTTCCTGTGCACACAGACATGCACACACATAGCTGTGTGCTCACACGAATTTTTAAAGTGTGCACATGGGGAAGGCTCAACACTATTAGACACGAGCATAGATCTGTTTGCATTTCTACAAAGGAAAGGATCTGACACACGTCACACACCCACAGACACTCATGCACGAGGACCAGTGTGGCTTGCACAGACTCAGATCCAGAGAATCCTTCTAGAGCTGCCGGCTTCACAGGAATGATTCGTATCTGCGGGATTACACTTCCTTTTGATGTGCAGAATTTTTATCTGGTTTTCTTTCCTGAAATATACCCTTTTCAAGAGTATGAAACCAAGTCCGGGGGGAACTCATCTTGATTCCTTGATAGACATGACTCAGAACAGGAACTACAGGAGTCAAACTAGCAATAACATGGCCCCTTTGGGAAGTTATTTCTGGATTTACTGGGAAGTAGTTCTAGACTTAAACAGTTTCTAGGCAAACAACAAAAAGCAGAGCTCTGGGTGGAGGTGGAGATGGAAATGCCTGGAAGTCCAGAAATCAATATAAACAAAAGAATTGAGCATAACTTAAAGGAGTTTCAACTAAGTTATCACCTCGACTGAGTTTGCTGACTGAAGAATTCCCGCTGACTCATGGAACTGAAAGATAATAATTGATATGTCAATATTTCTTCTTAGGAAGGCTCAGCTGGGAGTGATGTGGTGGGTGTTAAGGGTGGGGTAGAGACAGAGGCCTAAGGCTCAGGTATGGCTCCTAAGGTTTCTGCTTGCCTGATTTCGAAGGAAAGGGCGCTAAAGCAAAAGGATCAGCAGCTGGCAGCTCCGTAGTCCTGGAGGAAAGGGATGTGATGGAAACAGAGCCAGCTATCGACTGCTTATTGGTTTGCGAAACAATTTTGTAGGCAGCGATGGGCTGGGCTTCTGGACTTGGCTCATCTTCTGGGCTATAGTGACGGGAATATTTGGATAAAGACTGGGGGCGGAATGGTTTGCCAGCCACGGGGCCTGAGACAGATTCTTTCTGGGGCTGAGGTCCTTTGTTTCTGTCATTAGGATAGGCGCCAGATTCCAGAGAGGTGCCCCTGGGAGAGACGCTGTCAAGATGGTCTGCTGCTTGTACAGAATGGGAGGGGTGGTTAGACGGTTGGGCGAAACCAGCCATGGAATACTGAGCTCGAACAGAGGGATGCACGGCTCGATCAAGGCCCGGGAGCAGAGGGATGTCATTGGTCTGACGGAGGAGACCGGGCTGCGCAGGAGACTCCGGGGAGGCGCTCTGGGCAACGGTTAACTCCTCCATGCTTTTCTTCTTAGTGAAAGGAGCTCTCAAGAACACGTCCGCCTCCTCTGGCTGGGAAGGAGCCACGCTGCCCTTGCAGACAAATGGGGCTTTGGTGAAAATGTCCACGTCATCCGCGGGAACCCTCGAGCTCCTGAAGGGAGCAGTGGCGAAAACATCTGGCTCACCGAGTCCATCAGCGGTTGGCTGCGTGAGGGCTCCGAACTGGTTCTTTCTTCCACCTTGCGCTGCCTTGGCTTGCTCAGGAGAGACTTCTGGCTGACTGAAGGGAGTGGTTCCTCCCAGCTTCCCCTGCGGAGGCCTGCAGCTCTCATCCTCTTCTGACGACTCCAAGAGGAGAGGTCGAGACCCACTGCAGTCCAGCATGTCCCCCTCGAGGTCGGTCCCTTCCTCTTCACTGCTGTGGAACGAGCTGTTGCTGGAAGGGCCATCTCGGGCCAAGTAGTCATATTCTAAATTGTTCTGAGTTTTCATTCCAGGTACTCTGGAGGGGTCTGGATACAGGGGAAGGTCTTTAAAACCCGTTGATTCTTTAAAGTGCTCTACAGTTATTACAGGATAGGGATTGGGCTCTCTCTGGATACCTAGAAAAGCACAAAACACAGAATTAATGCACAGGTCCATTCAACTCTCCTTGGAACATTTAATGGTCAACCCGTGGCAGAAACATTGTGGAACCAAATAATAGATGTTGAAAATGGAAAAGGAAAAACAGAAAAAGAAAAGTCAGGCAAGGAAACTGCACACAAACTGGAACACAACCAATCACGGTCTCACATTTCGGAACACGATAGGCACGATGTGCAGGAAAGGAGATGAAGATGTTAGGCACAAAGACATTCAGCGTAACTATGCGATGCTCCTATGCATGGGGCCAGGCACTGACACCTGCTCTACCTGGTGCTGGCTCAGGATGGAATGAAAACAAACCCAGTCACTCATCTCCACATCCACCATGACAGTTCTGGCTGATGCAGAAATACTGTCTGGGGACAAACTCAAATCAGATGCGACATGTGGTCATCTGCTCCACACTGCCTGTAACTGAGGATGGAACCTCTCCCCCGCCAAAGCAGGAGAACGTGGCTGCTTGATAAATGCAAAATTACTTGATGATTTACATCATAAGTACTATTCAAAGAGCACAAGAGTGCCTCAAATATGAATACTGAAGGCACTTTCTAAGGGGAGGAGACATAATCAAAATCATATTAAATCAATCACCTTCAGCTAGAGTTGCCCTGGAATTTTGTTTTCAGTCTTCTAAGTTAGCAAAGATCTCCTCTGCTTAAATGAATCCATCATAAAGTTCTTTAAGCAGAAGGAGTAAAATGCACAGGTAATTACAGAAGTATTTGCAAACTCTAATAAACGAATCTATTTTTATCTAGGTAGAGGTGCCTCAGGGTGCTCTGGCTTTTAAAATCAAATAGACAATTATCAGAATGCAAGAGAGCTTACCTTCCAAGAAATATTAGCAGGTTGGAAGTATGTCATTGGGCACATGTTAGCAAGAGGGCAGGAAAAAGGCATATGTAACTAAGCAAGAAGAATCCAGAGAAAAGCGTGGCTGGGGGTAGAGATATCATGTCATCATGGGTTTCCCAACCCACCAGGGTAAGAAATTACAGGTACCATGATTTGGACTCTTATAGATGACTCAGAACCTCTGTACAGCGGAAATTCAATCATCCCCTCCCCACGTTACCCTCTCCCCTTCTAAGCAAACCATTAGGTAGTAGAAGCTTCTGCTAACAATTTTCCCCTGCTAAAGTTTCTGCTTGAATTAATCACACAGAACACAGCAGAAGCAGCATCAAAATCAATTTATTGGGAAACCAGTTACTTAGAGGCATTACATTGTAAAGAGACGTAGAGAGAGATCTGAACATTTTAGAAGACACTGTACAAAAATACTATGTTTCTCTGAATCCTGTAACTTTTTAGCAGTGCTTCTTTTTAAACAGTTCTGACCTTAAATATTGTTTTCAGAAACAAAAAAGGTGGGTCCCCCCCACCCCGCCACCATTTTTATTTCTCTTTCTAGAACTCTGAATGTATTTGGTGAATTCCAAATTACAGAGTCTTTAAGTTAAATTCTGTACTGGTGCCAAATGGCTTTCTGAATAGTATATGAAGAGGATAAATGTTTCCTTGCATTATAACTTTAGTATGTGCACCCATATGGTGATAGGAAAGCGTTAGTCAGGGGACAGGAAATAAACGGAACACCTTCTCCTTTGCAATATATGTGGAAAGACATAATTCTAATCTCTCAGGCAAGTATATCGATGTGAGATCTGTCACAGTGATTCCCAGATGATGATGTCTGTGGGGAAATTCAAATGAAATGGGGCAGAGAAGTTTTCCAAGATAAGATTTGCTGAGCAAAGTGGTACGAATGGCCCCCAAAACTCCTTGAACCGCTTTCTAACACAGTTATCAGTTGGACAGTTTTTAGTTCCCAAAATTAAGTCATGACTTCTCATCTTCCAAAACCACCCTAGAAGCTGATGTGGTTCTGTGGGAGAGCAAAATATCTCTTAGGAGAAAACTGGCAAATTTAGTCATGACCAACTCTGGCCACCATGGGAACCAATAATGAAAATGAGCACTCGTTTGACTGAAGCTAGTGCTCTGGGGAAATTTAAATGGAACGTAGTCAAATCAAATTGTGTGCAGAGACCTCCAAAAAGCAGCTACCTATAGAACGCAGGGCATCTCGGATGCCTGCAGTGTTAGAGTACATTGTGAGAGCTGTAAAGTACCAAGCAGGGGTACCCACATGCAGAGTCAGACAGGCTAGAAGGGCATTCCTAACCTATCTAAATTACTTACGTTAAAAGTGAGTTCTTGATCAAGTCAACTGTAAATCTGCCAACTCAGAGCATATTCTATGACCTTCATGATGAATAGGAAAAATCACACCTAAAATTGCGACAACTTTTAAAAATTTATATATAGTCACAAAAATACTATAACATCAAGTTTGAAAGGAGAACTAGTCTCCAGTCCTTCAAAACAAGGCCAGACCTATTCCATCTCTGTCTTTGAACATGAATCTGCTCTATAGGATTGGAAAAGCACCTTTAAAGGATTTTCCCTTGAAGGCCAGATCTCTTAACCTTTCCATTCCTTTTAGAGGAGGTGGAGTATGACCAAGGCTGAGAGCAACCACCCTTTGTAACCCTCCAAGCCTGGCGTTCTGGAGAACAAAGACACGCAGTGGGTATGGGGCACGCAGACATCCACATTCCCTCAGGGAATTCTGGTGGTGGCAGCACAAGAAACAAAGCAGTCAAGAGAAGGACAGAGTCTAAATAACTGTAAACAGAAGATAGACATTAAATCTTGTTGGCAGTTAGAGGGTTTTTTTTTTTTGAATATGCGTGTGTTATTGCAGGGAGGGAAAGCATGTATTTTCAGGGTGAACAGTCCTTGTATATGAATATAGCCTTGTACTGTCAGAAAAACATGTTGGAAGCAGTCTGCCTACTAGCAATGAAAGATTTATACTAATTTAACCTCAGTGCCTTGGCCCAGTTCCTTTGGAAACCAACGGCATGCAGAGCAGATGCCCTGTGACCAGAAAACTCAATAAAGCTAGGCAGTTGTTCTTGGGGTAGGGGTGGGAAGTGATGGGGGGGCGTTGGGCTTAAACCTGGGACCTGGCCTCACAGGGTCAGGGTCTCCCTTATCAAGCATAAGGGTCTTCCTTATCAGGAAGCTAAGGTAGGGCATTTTGTTCTAATTTCCTCAAATTAAGTCACGTCTCTTTTCATTTTGCTTTAGCACATTAAATTAAGCAAGAAGTCAAAACACACTTCTTTTTCTTGCTCTGATGTAGGACTGTGTGCCAGGTTAAGGTTAAGCACACTTTTTGACACTTCCACTAGGAATAACTCCATTTGAGTCTATTTTGGGGCTGCAAATTAATGTCGATTTCAGTAAGAGCTTATATGCTTCAGAAAGAAGGCATCCTCAAAAGTATCTGATGCTTTGGCAACTGTCCTCACCAATTCCCTATTAATTTCCAAAGCAACCCAAAGTGCTGAATAATTTAGAATAGGTTTACCCTGGAAATTTTATCTGATGGACAGTGAGGACCGTGTTTCCTAAAAAAGAATGAAAATCTGAAGACTTAAATTGCAGGCTGGATATTCCTGAGTGCAATATATCATGTGTGACCAGAATTTTACTTTCTCCCATACTATAAAGAGAAATAACAGTTATAGGGAGTGTCAAAGACATAATTCTTGCCCCAAACTGAAGGTGAGATCTTGGAGTATTGGGAAACCTTCTCGTATAGTTAGCAACTAGAAAGCAAAATACCCTTTACCAGAACTTCAGAAATGTAGCACCAAATGAAATTCACACTCTCAGAGCTGAATCAGGGAATCAGGAGATGTACATCAAACTAATAATTTCCATGACCTTTTGCTTAGATAATAAAATTAAGCACTGGGTTCTACCATATGCTGTGGAGTTGCATTAAAACCCACGCCTGGCGAATAAGATATTTGATGGGGGACAACACTGGCTAGAGGCGCTGGGTCTCTCAAGCCAACAGAGCAATTAAACGAGAGAGATTTCTCCCTGGGCATAAAATTGCCGTTGCCAACATAAAATGTTTAATTAAATTAGCCTGGGTACATTAAAGATTAAATTAGAGGAGGGTAGCTGCAAATCTGTGCTCCCTTTTACAGCTCCATGTCTGGTCATATCAAATGCAGGCTCACAGCGGTTTTACTCTCTATGACCGCAGATGAAGCCGGGGTAGCCATGACTCATTAAAATGTCCTCTGCACGTCTCTCATACGTGTCTGCACTTTCCTTGTGCACAGGTGCTTATGGTCACTCAACAATGTGTTTAAATCCTTTTTGCAAAAGTGGGTTTTCAGATCAGGAAAAGAGCAGCTACTGTAAGTTATTTATTTATAGCTCTGAACATCATGCTCCTGTTTTAACAGATAAAAGTCTTTATTTTCCTGTATGTTTACATAAGAAACTTGTTTACAGACTTGTTTTTTATACAATACTTGTGTAGCAAAGTTCAAATTTCACATTTTTCTGTATAAGATAGCTTCATGTACCTCTGTTTGCTTTGTCTTCTTGGGAGGACAGGATAAAGGTCTGTGGTGAATACACATCCGTGTGATGAAGGCGTGTGCGACAGGGCAGGGAATACTCCTAGGGCAAGACTACATCAGAGTGGGAACCAGGAAGATATCTTCCATTCTAGCAACTACCATGCTGCTGCACAGATCAGCATTGTCCAAAGAACCTCTCTCCCCCATCACAGTGAAAGGAAACCCAAGAGAAACGAAATAGTATCTTGTTACAGATTATTTGAAATGGAGGCCATCTGGGATTCATTCTGACTCAAGAAATCCAAGCACATTCAACTCTAGGAACATTATTAGTGGGGAAAAGGAAAAGGCTAATAACTTTGTGCTGGTAAAATTACAGTCTCTTGAGAGGAATAAAAGATGGCTTTGTAATATCTGGAGCGTTTCAGTAAAGGTACCATTTTAAGTATCCATCTAATAGTTTCTCTGTTCTGCCTGGCAGCCTCTAATCTGCT